TGCCATATTCAAGTGGACCACTGTTGGATAAAGTGCATGTCTACAATCCTGTGTTTGATTATGTCCCACCGGAATTAGTAACACTGTTTATTTCACACCAGTAAGTACATACTCGTTAGCAGTTTTATACATTCTGTTTTATCCAGAGGAGGTAACGCCCCATCTTATGTCTACCGTCTATTGTCCGAGTTGTATCATCCAGATGACCAAGAATTGTAAAAGTCTTGCAAATAAATACCACTTCTAAGAAATGTGATTATTTATTTACCACTGAATACAAATTACAAAGGTTTAATGCATAAAATACGTAATTGGCTAATTGTAGCCATTATAAATTAAATGGTGTAGTGTACACTGTAAACTATATGGGTTTAATTTTGAAGTGTAAACCAATCAAAGAAAATACGAGACATTTTAAATCTTGCACCAAATAGTAAAAACATCGCAATCCCTCAGGATCTTTCGACTGACTCACATCAACCAGCGAGCCCGTTTTTGAAGTTGTGAATGATATATGTTCGTCGCCGATCACAATTTCCAGTTCTTGACGTCCAATTCGATCAGGTTGGGGCCACAAAGAATCGTCCTCCTGCATAATTTCAGAATCCAAAATTATTCTTCTTAGCTCCTCCATAACACAAGGATGCACGTAGACTTCCTTACGAATCATGGTATCATTTTTATAGTTCGAGTTGTTTGCATACCGTAGTTTACCATCAGGTCGAAACTCGAACTCGAGAAATTCGTGTCCGAATTTACCTTTATGACCAACGTAATAACGCAAATAGAATTCTGAAGAAGAAGTAGCCATATTAAGTGAAAATATGTAATAACTGTAATGTGCTTGATAATTAAAACTGGGGAAGGAAATAAATGAGGTTAAGTTGTATCAATTGAAACGTCAAACGAGAGCGTCACTCTTCAAGTTGAGTGTTGACCACATGGCACATGCGCGCAGCGCGTGCCAATTAATGGTTGCATTCATGAATTTAGATTATTCTTTTCAGTGTTGGTATTTAAAGTATAGGGGCGGGCAAGTCAACAGACTTGTCGTGGTCTAGAGTCTAGGCAAAATCTACAACCATCGATCGATCATAATGCTTCTCCTCTACCTCTAAACTAAAAAAATAAGTGCCAGGTATATCCACTATATTATTATTAGTATGTATATATTGTCGCAACACAGCTAATAATTTTGATATGAGTAGGCGAATGTCAATGAATGAAAATGTAAGAAAAATAATAAAAAGTCATTCGAAATAAAGTTGTAAGGTTTTTCAAGAATTCGTTTGTTATCAGGTTTCCTTGTGTTTACTAACACTTATTCAACGTGTGCAAGTATTGGCAACGCAATATTTTCCCGACCAGAATCGAAACGGTGAATTTGATCTTCGGCGGGATACAACATTTTTTGGCGACCGTGACAGGACATTGCGTGTAAATACAGCTGCAAAAGAATAAGTGTACGTACGAAAAGTAAACAGAGGTAAAAATGGTTGACAACCTGAAATCAAAAAGGAAAAATCAGAGAGTTCTCCGCGCGTCCTTTATGAAGATCGCAAATGAGTTAGACGGACATATAATACAAGTTCCTTTGGTGAGTAGCAATGTTGAACTATTTTGGAAGTGCTTACAGACCAAGTGGGACAGTTTAAATGCCTGTGATAATGGGATCTATGACATAATGCTTGAAGAAGACGTGGAGGAGGACGCGTTGTTGATAGAAATGGATGAACGAGAGGTCTACTTCAAACGGTTTACAGAGCTTAAGTTACGAATCGAGAAGTGTCTGTTGAAGCCTGCAGTAAGACCAGTTATGGATGAACGAGAGGTCTACTTGAAACGGTTTACAGAACTTAAGTTAAGAATGAAGAGGTGTCTGTTGAAGCCTGCAGTAGGACCAGTTATTAGAGATGGCAGCGAGGGTAATGTAAATATTGACCTTACACCAGGTAAGGACAAATTTAAACTACCTCGAATGCAATTTAAACAATATGATGGAAACATAAGAGAGTGGGTAGGGTTTTGGTCTCAGTTTAAAAAAATACACAGCGATAGTGGGATAGGAAACTGCGACAAAATCGAGTACTTGATACAAGCTACAGTTCCAGGCAGTCGTGCGCGTCAGATAGTAGAGAGTTTACCAAGTCTTGGCGAAAACTACGATAAAATTATTGAGTGTATGAAAAGTAGTTTTGGGCGAGATTTGCAAATAGAGTTCTACGTGCACGAGTTGCTAAGACTAGTTCTAAAATGTAATGATTCGCGTCAAAAAATGGATTTGACTAAATTATATGATCAGATAGAGACACAGTTAAGAGCGCTTGCCACTCTGGGCATCAGTTCTGATAAATACGCTGCTGTTTTGTTTCCACTGATGGAGTCGTGCCTGCCACAAGAGTTGTTAAGAATTTGGCATAGGTCGACATATAATTCATGTCGTAATGTTGAAGCTGAGTTAGATGATAATCAGAGTGTACAAAAAAGTGACCGTAATAGTGAGTCACCATATGTGGAGATAAGACTTAAGAACCTGTTACGTTGTTTGCGATCAGAGGTTGAAAACGAGCAGAGAATTGTTCTAGCGAGCGACGGTTTCGGGTTATCGAAATACGAAAAATCGAAATCCTTCAGTGATGAAAAACACAGCTCTAAAGCGAGTATAGCGGGTATAATGATTGCCGCTGGTTTAGTAAACAACACCAGTACGGTAAAATGCATATTTTGTTCGGTTTCAAACGACAGCAAACAATTCTGTTTTAAAGAAAAAGGTATGTTACTTGGTTGTGAATATCCACAACAAACAATAGAAAAACTTGCCAGTACATTCTATGTTAACAACTGCGTAGCCAGTGGGTCAAGTAGAAATGATGTAAATAAGTTCATCAAAGAATCTGTACAGGCCATGGCAGAAGCGCCATGCGATTTAAGGGGCTGGGAGTTTTCGGGAAATTTAAGTGGCACTGAAAATAATATTTTAATGCTTGGCTTAAAATGGTTTCAAGAGAAAGACGTGTGGTGTTTAAATGACACTTGGAGCACAATTGAAATAGATATCGTTGTGACAAAGAGAAAACTATTAAGTATGGCACAAAACGTTTTTGGTCCCATAGGCTTCATTTGTCTTGCAACTTTACAACCAAAATTATGGTTACAAGAGGTTTGGGCTAAAAACATTACATGGGACACTGAAGTAGACCAAGAGACGGCTGTAGCATTCCAAAATTGGGTCAAAGACTTAACAAACTTGTCAAAATGGTGGGAGGGACCTCGGTGGTTATATGTATGTGAAGAAAAATGGCCCTACACTATTAATGTTCAGGTAAATGTGAAAGAAGTAAAAGAGGCGGAAAAAGAGTGTTTTTCTGGCAATACTCAGATTAAAAGTTTGAAGCCCAGAGACAATGAATTTGCCTTAATTAGAATTGAATTGAAAGTAGCAAATAGACCAAATGAGACAAACGACTACAGATATCTTACTTTGCCCAGTAAGTACCCAGTTCAGAATTTGATTTTGGAGAAACGTAAGGAGTTTTGTCGTTTAGGAGTCCAAGGTTTGTTTGGTGTGCTGCGGGAATGGTATTGGATATTAGTGGGTAGAAAAAAGGTGAAAATTAAAAAATCACGTTGTGAGCTGCTTAGACCAGTCCATCGAAGACTATATCCACAGGAGTGTGATACAAATGTTCCAGAAGAAAAGCTTGAAGCAGAGTTTGATAACGAAGCTGTTACTGTTCAGGAGATGACAAAAGAAAAGTCGAAAGTAGCTAGTTCAAGATTTCTTAAAGATAAGCAGACAGAGTCAGTTTCAAATGATTATAAGGACTGTAATAATTGTAGGATTACACGTAGTGGCCGTATTATTAAAATGCCACAAAGAGTTTGTTAAATATGTAGGTAGGTTTCAAATTGTGAGAAAAACTTTCTGAAAAAAAAAGTGTTTCTCAGGTGGGAGAATGTCGCAACACAGCTAATAATTTTGAGATGAGTAGGCGAATGTCAATGAATGAAAATGTAAGAAAAATAATAAAAAGTCATTCGAAATAAAGTTGTAAGGTTTTTCAAGAATTCGTTGGTTATCAGGTTTCCTTGTGTTTACTAACACTTATTATTCAACGTGTGCAAGTATTGGCAACGCAATATTTTCCCGACCAGAATCGAAACGGTGAATTTGATCTTCGGCGGGATACAACATTTTTTATATTATTAGTTAATTATAGGTAATATAAAAATAAGTAGGTAAGGATAGATTAGGCCCGTTTGTCACGTTCACTATGCACTACATTCTGCATTTTTTAGGTGGAGGAAAAACACTCCATAAAATTTGTTTTTTTTTCACTATTATACTCTTTTTGGCGTTCGCAACCTTTGCCTAATTCTATTTAGTTATTTCTCCACTCTTTGCATTCTGTCGAGGAGTTGTAGTAAAGATGGTTCTTTTCCATTGGATAACTATATCACCATTCACCAACTACATGTAAAATGAATGACTGTCTGGTAATGTAGGTAATTTATACAATAAATGTAGTTTTAAAGTTTTTTCGAGACGGTGGTTAACTTTTCCCAATAGATAATCAAATGTTCTGACGGATATTCTTAGATAATTAAAAAATCGATCTCGATACATTCTTAGCTCATGATACAAATGATGAAATTCACCAAATACATGTCTTTCCCTATTTATGGGATGGATCTCAACTTTTCTGTTTAATCTGATAACATATGGTGTATCTAACAAGGCCATTAACGTACCTAAACGAACTGCTTTTCTTGGAGCCATTATTCCAACTGAGTTTACTTGTTCACCAGTCTAGGGAGACGCTGTTACTGCGAATGCTATGACACAACGCAAGGCAGCGCGACGCACGACGCTCGATGCGGCGCGACGCCCCCACTCTATACCGGCCTTTAAACTAAATGATAGTTACTTATTCAAACTTTATGCAAACAACTACATATACGACATTGTTGGAATTATAAGTATGCAAGAAGGTCTTCAATATTCAGTACACAACTTTTGTATCAAAGGAACAAATCACACGTTTCATATCGTATTATACTTAGTAATGCTGGTTTTCACTGGATTACTTTCTGTAAGTTATTTTATATTCACAAAGTATGTAACAATTTCTCTCAAATTATTTGACATGCCAATAATATCCCTGCAGTAGAAAATTAGAAATAAGCACTTCAGTACTTTTGGTTTTAACGACCAGATAGGTAGATTAATTTATACCTGCAACATAATAATTGCTTATTGACGAATTCGATTATGGAAACGGAAAATAATTCAGAAAGTAACACTAAGAGCTTATCCAGTGGTGGTAATTTTTTGCGTTATAGAATTATTGGCAGTGTTGGTAATGCTTTTGTAGGTACCGTTGAAAAGCGCCCAGATCACAAGGAACCCGATGGAACAAATGGAGGAGCAGCAGAACAATTATTACAGTACCAGACAATACTCACTGAAATTAGAAGGTACAATTTAACAATATGTATCATTGAAAAATTGTTAAAAATAAATGCGCCATAAACGTGTTCATTTAGATCAGATTCCCACGTACCGGAATTCAGTAGGTAATTCAACCAGGAAGAATATCAATTAAGTTTAGCAGTATAGATAAGGAAATGCTGGCAAACCGGGAACAGTTGCTATACTAGGAGGCAACCTATTCAAAACAACATAGTATGCAATTTTCGCAAGGACAAGGCGTCAGCATTTCCTCAATAACAATAGAAGTAAACTAGGTTAAGCGCATGTAATCTCTGTGATATAAATAGCTTGTAAGAATCTGCAATAAAACATTATCAATTCGCAACAGTCAAGTGAAGTACCGAGTTCAACAGGTTACAGGAGGAGGAATAGTGCGACAGCTCCAGACGAGTGAGTTGCGGTGGCATGGACTACGATGGCTTCAGGAAGAAACAACTGCGAGGAATACCATACCTGTACCAGAGACCCAAGAAGAAGCACGAAGAAAGTTGGCCACCCTCAGCATTCAAAAACAAGACTGCATCACGGCCAAGTTTTTCTCCCTTGACAAGATGATAAGGGTGATAGCATACTGTCGAAGGTTAGGGGGTAATTTATTAAGCGGTAGTCGGCGGTAGAAAACGGTGAAACGGCGGTACAGGGGACGGACGGACGGACTCGAGCGCCACCAGACGAAAATCTCGCGCCTGAATGATCTCGGCGGTAATATACAGGGTGGTCCACATAAACGGCAAACTCCACTCAGAAATTCCGGGTCCTTCGTTACAACATTTGTTGGTATAATAGACACATGCAAACACAGTAGTTAGAGCGCGTTCGGCTGAAGTCAAGTGATGTACTCGGCCTACCTATTACTTACGGTAAACGTCCCCAAAAAAATGTTGTTATGAAGGAAACATAATTAGAAATACGGTATGAGTGGTATTTTGTACCTCAGCACAATGCAAACGACTTACATGATTTTTAAAAAGGTATATACAGTAGTCAACTTGACTAGTCTCCCTACTTTTCGACCCTGTTTCAAACCTTTGCACACTAAATGTTGACGACACACCGCGACTAAATATTCACAGTTAAGCGGTAAATCCTAAACGAATGTATTTCTTTTTAATCAACACGTATGCGAGACGTATGTAAAAACCGGGAAACTAAATAATTTGGCGTTTTACGTGAAGTCGGTGTAGTGGATTTGGTTTTTCGATGTTGGCGCCAGAGATCCCCAGCCGCTATTTTGATTTCGATCCGATCAGTGTGTCAACAAGACGTGTGCAGGCCTTGATAAATATCGCTGGTTTTGGTGTTCTTTCTGAAAGACACCATGCCTTTTGTGAAGAAAAGTGCTTAGCAGAAGAAGGAAAAGATTGTCCTAGCTCAGTTATATATACTAGACCTAGTGGAAAAGTCATCAGATTGAAACGCGTGCTGCATAGCGTGCCGCCGCGTCAGAGCAGACGCCGCTTCGGCGGTAAATATCTTCCTTATTTCATCATGAACATGTACTTTTCCGTGCAAATTTAGATTCGTCAAAAAATGTCGCTTCTAATGAGACCCATCTTATTTAAGTCTTGATACAAACACCTTCGCTAGCTCAGAAAAACTGAGTCTGTCCATAAGAGCCCATGTTAAAATACCCTGTTTTTACTGTCAAATATCTCAGAAACGGTACATAGGAACACTTTTTTCTTTTGACCATTGGAAAGTGCGTCTCTCAGAGAATAAGTGACCAATAATTTTCACCAACTTCTTGTTACTTTTACCTAGGCGCTCTAACTACTTTAAAAACTCGTTAGTAGTGAGTGGTGATTAGGGAAACATAAAATTTCACGTTGGTAGAAGGATCCAAAAAGTGTTCTCAAGTTTTGTTGATCATCCGTTACACGAACAAGACCTTTTGGCTTTTGTAAGATAAATCAGTTATTACTGTTCTGTGTCAGTTATTATGACAATCTCGATAACAATTGACATTTAACCGAGCGACAAAAAGCAAGTTCATGATTGACTTCCTGTCGTCCCTCGGCCCGTCTGTCCGTCCGTCGCTGTTTACATGGTACCTAATAACTCGCGTGCACAACATAATTATAGAACATACATTTGAAATCAGGAGTCTGGCCCTGAGTCATGGATTTGTGAATCAATTTCAGTCGTGTTTTTTATCGATTCGCACACTTGATAGATGCTATAGTGTTTTAGCGTATGTTGGAAAATGATTGACAAATCAATGACGCAGAGCCACAGAGCAGTTATAGTATTTTATTTGTTACTCAGTTGTAAACGTTGATTAACAAGACAAAACGCAAACGGGTAAACGTCATGTTTAAACGCTACTGACTAGTAAAACTGACAGCAGACCTGTAAAACTGACAGCAGACCTGTAAAAATTTTACAAGTTAGTAATCTAGTAATTTCATTGGCCAGAATTAATGCGAAGTCTCTGTTACATGGATAATATGATATTTTAGACATTTCTTCGAGATCAATTTAAGAACTAATTATTTACGTTTACAAATGAGTAACAAATAAAATATTGTACATTATACGCCAGGTAATAGTTTTTACTGGCTCTAGGAGATGACAAGCTCGCCTAACGGCTCGCTAGTCAACTTCTCCTATCGCCAGTAAAAACTCAGTTACCTGGCTAATAATGTAAAATACTATTACATTATTAGCCAGGTAAGTGAGTTTTTACTGGCGAGCCGACTGGCGAGCCGTCAGGCGAGCCTGTCATCTCCTAGAGCCAGTAAAAACTATTACCTGGCGTATAATGTACAATATTTTATTTGTTACTCATTTGTAAACAATAGTAAACGTAAATAATTAGTTCTTAAATTGATCTCGAAGAAATGTCTAAAATATCATGTTATCCATGTAACAGAGACTTCGCATTAATTCTGGCCAATGAAATTACTAGATTACTAACTTGTAAAATTTTTACAGGTCAGCTGTCAGTTTTACAAGTCAGTAGCGTTTAAAGATGACGTTTACCCGTTTGCGTTTTGTCTTGTTAATCAACGTTTACAACTGAGTAACAAATAAAAAAAATAGCACAAATGTTGGGTTTTTCATGTTCACTTATTTTTATGGCATGCTTGATTATTATATATAAAATTCGTCTTGGGGACATAATAATAATAATAATAATAATAATAATAATAATAATAATAATAATGATTTTTTTTGTTTTGTTTTCCTCTTTCCTGATAGCGTTGGCTATTGTGCCCATCAATAGGTATGTTGGTAAGTACGAATTACATTATCCCTAGATGTCCAATGTACGTGTGTGATTTTTTTTTTTTTTTAATGACCCTACATAACTTCACCAGACACAGACACAGACACTAATCGTTACTTGATTTTAATCCGTGCGATTAGTTAACCAGGCTAGACCTGAGTTCTCACAAGAAACACCGATAATAATAATAATAATAATAATAATAATAATAATAATAATAATAATAATAATAATTTATTGCCATAAGTTTTACATTAGTTACATATACATATGTAAACATTAGCATTGTCAGAGTAAGAGAGGAAAGATTTAACAAATAATTTATATGAAATGTGCATTGTATAGATAGGGTTAATCGTGTTAAATAGTTTCAACTCATTTTAAATCGATGCGTTGGTATTATCTTTTTAAGTTGCAGTGGTAGCATATTATATGCTTTAATTGCAAAATAATAAGGGCTTTTCTAAAATGATGTAGAGGAATTCTCAATTCTTTGTTAGGCAGATTTGTCAAAATTTTACCATCGAACAGCTTAAATACTCCATTTAACCACCATGATATAAAATATTGCCTCGATTAAAAAAAAGTTGTAGTGGCATCAAAATTATTTCTACCCCACTGAGTTCTACGTGAAAATGTACACTTACAATTTTTTTTCATAATGAAACATCAATTTATACCCGCATACGCTGTGCTGATTAATACCCTGTATATTTACCATGACACCCTAATTTTTCAATTAAAGAGCATAATATACGAGGTCAAATTTCCACTGGAATTCATGAGATCGGCAACATGATACCACAGATTAACTACTAAATCCTCTCTCTTCTTCCTTGTCTTATCTTAACCTATAAATTTTTTTAATAATAATAATTATTAATACATGAGTAACCAAAAGAATGTTTTTCTACCACCTCTTAGAAAGTGGAAGAGTGAAGAGGTTCTCCCGACGGAATTTGTTAGTCTTTCCAGTCTATCAAAGTCTGTTTCAAACTTATCGTGGATTCTTCCTCAACGACTTATATCGTCCTCGCATTTTCTGAAACCTGCACCCGCTTATACCAGATACCTACACTTAATCGCTTTAAGATGTTTATTTTGTCAGGCAGACTACGATTATAGTTTACAAATACATACCCATATGAAAACTCTAGAAAATTGTAAATCATTATGGAATGATCTTGATGTAAATATTGTTATTGAACATGCTAAAGCTCAAGAGAAAGTAGACGAGATGTTAAGCAAGTTAATGCCAAAGCTCGACTCTGTGGTTGGCGAATTTTTAATAGCAAATAATATACTAGAAAGTATACAAAATTACGATAAGTTTGTAAAACTAGCCAACAGTTCCATACAACAAGTGAGTAGCGATCCACTCCAAACAGAAATTGACATCAACAAAATATTGATGATTCTTCTATCTCATACAATTACCACAGAAGATATAAAAAGAAACACAACCAATTTTCCATTGATGATTAAACATCTTGTATACGAAGGGAAAAGATTTCGTAACCTTGTCTGCCTTGTGATATCTAAACAAACTGTGCTTGCCAAACTCTTAAAAGATCCCGCTTCAATTAAAGTTACTGATGTTCCATATGGACTTCCTAAACTTTGCGACATAGAAGATGAGGCTGCTGCATTTTCAGCCGATGATTCAGAACCTGAGGATTATGTAGATTCTTACCAGTATGGTGATGATGAAGTCTGATCGCAATATTTGTTTCTTTAATGTTTCGTTAATTAAATTTATTTATAAAAATGTTTTTTATCATTGTATGTATGTTTAATGAAATAGAACCAAATAAAATCAAAATATTTAGCATTATACAAAATTTATTACTTTAGTATTACAAGATTGGAATGAGATTTACACTTCATCACCAAAAATATCTAAACGTGATAACCATTCATTGCTGCAAATTTATCAGAAATGTTTTTCAACAATAACACATCAACTTGCTCCAGAATTTCGGATAACATTTTTTGTTTTGTCACCAATGCGGAAGAAAGGCTGAGAAACTTTTCCCTCTCAACACAGAGCTGTTCATAGAGTGAAGCATGTTTAATCTCTCCTGTTAATTTTCGTATCGCATTAGCATTACTGGAAATTGATGATGCAAGCTGATTATAATCACCTTGTGTCTCAAATGGTTTAATGTTCACCAAACTAAGACAATTCGTAACTTTCTCCACAAAATTATTGTAATATTCAATATTTTCTAAAACATTATTATCACTTATGGTTTCATTTAATTCATCGACTGCATTTTGCATCTTTAAAAGTACATTATTCGCATCAATGTCTATCTCCGTTCGAGCAATTTCATCTTCTAAAACCTGTTGGTGGTTTAAGGCTCTACGTAAAATATTACACTTCTCTGCCAATTGATCATCGATGAGCTCCTCGTATTTTCCAAGAGCGTTTGTTACTAAATCTTTGATAGCAATGGCCTGAACGTATTTATTGTAAGCCAAATCGAGCTCCGTTGAAAGATCCCGGGTCACCGAACAAGTTACTGTTTGGGACGCCAAAGACAGGTCGCTTAATGATTTTGCTCTGTTCGATAGAAGTTTTGGAGTTTTCCCACTGGTGGAAACATTTCTAGCATTTCCAGGTGTACGAGGATTTCTTCTTTCGCTCATCATGATATTTGAAAACTTAGGTTAGGATTTTATAGTAAACATTTACAAATATGGTGCCTCCCAAGCCTGGTATCTTAGGGTGGGTCCACACCACATTGCTCCTGTTCGTACTCGAGCTCGGGCTCGTGATCGCGCTTACACCGTTGCCGGACCATTGCTTGTTGCGATTGTACTATTTTGTCAAGATCGTTTTGTTGTTTGCGCTCTTTCGATTCGGATATGGACAACGAACAGTAAAAACTATAAAATGACAAAACCGCCGTCAACTATGCTCGCGCGCACAAGATGTATCCCTTTGATGTACCGCTACCTGACGGAACAGTCGAAACAAGTGTTTTGACTGATTGCAAGCACAAGCTAGTTGTTAATGTTCACTCGATGTTTTAAACACATTTAGATTGCGACTTCAATTCCTTCTGTCTTCTGCCTTTTTGGAACGTAATTAACTGTTTCACCGTGCAGAGGTAAATTCCGGAGTGTTAAAGGTAATTAGTGCGATTCATCTCGAAATACAACTTTAGTCTAAGGTTACCATATCTAGGACCTTCAGATACCTTATTTGGACTGGAGAAGGTCTAGCTAATTAACAATGCATTTCATGTACTTTTTTATGCAAGAGACTACGGAATGTTATTTTTCACAATGGGAGAGAAGTGGAGTCGCTTTAAAATATTTGAAATATATTTGAGCTGGCCAATTGTTGAGTGTGAGGTTTGTATTACTAGGGCGGTGTTCAAAGTTCGCGTTTTTCCTGTTTTTGTTAGGCAGGGGCTGTCGACTTAGGTACACGTTCATATGACAAAGGATATCGAACATATCGATCTATTTCAAAAGAAAATACTTTTTAACTACTAAAGAAGGATATAAATTCTTCTTCAGAAAACTGGTAAACATTTCAAACCAGAAGATTCCAGAACACACTATTGTAACTGAGTACTCGTGCGTTCGCATGGAAATTGTTGAGATATTGAGATATTCGGCGCCACTTATCAAGAACTTGCTTGAAAGGAAAATGCACAACCCCACAATAGCTCAGCTCCAAATAATCGATATTCAGAAAAAATAAAAAAAGAGAGGAAGAGAGAGAGAAAGAGAAGTGGAAGGGAGATGATGAGGGCGAGGGGCGAGGGAGAGGGAGAGACTTAAATAAATAAATAAAGACTGTACATCGTAAATAACGATCATATAATTCTGCAGTAACAGTACATAATTATAAAACAAAGCTTGGAGCACGCCATATTTGTTTATTGAAAACAAATATCATCATTTTATGCAAAATAACCATTCAGAAAAAGCAGCACGCCAGCACTGCTCAAGCCATCCAAATCTAGGTTACTAATAGCAAAGACTATCCTCCTCCTGGAGGAGGATAGTCTTTGCTAATAGTAACCACGTCAAGCCTTTCGAAAATCCCTGCTCTTCGGCATCTTCGCAGAACGGTCGATGAAGTCACAGATTTATCACGATTGTTGTGTAGATTTCGTATTTATTCCATATTATGATATTGGTATTCGTTTGAGATGGAAGGGGTGTTGCCTAACCGTAGGTTAGCATAGCACACTTTCTAAACGCCTTTCTGAGTACCTACCCCAAAGTTCGTGACATACCCTCCTCCGACACTAAAGAATTGTAAGATCTCGATAAAGTATAGAGTGGTGGTTGGTAGATAAGGTTGATATAGCACAAATCGCGACAAACGCGGCACTCCAACACACCAAGTTTCGTTCGGTACGCGTCAACTCGCCAAGGGCGACTCGCCACCGGACCACTCGCCACGGACTGACTCGCCAACGGGACAACTCGCCAACGCGACAACTCGCCAATGCGACAACTCGCCAACGGACGACTCGCCACTGCGACAACTCGCCAACGAAATATTTTTCCCTGTTTAATGTGTCGTTCAAATAACCATGTGATTGTCAAATTTTCTGTTCAAATAATAATTTGCAGAAGATGTCGTTATATCAAAATGCAGTAATAGAAACAGGTACAGGCGGTTGGGTCTTCATTCAAATATTGACTACAATTTTTCGATAAACTTTTTTTACAAAATTAGGGAAATTGACTATTGCATTTGTGGGATGCATTTGTATGACACATTAAACAGGGAAAAATATTTCGTTGGCGAGTTGTCGCAGTGGCGAGTCGTCCGTTCGCGAGTTGTCGCATTGGCGAGTTGTCGCGGTGGCGAGTTGCCCCGTTGGCTAGTCGGTCGGTGGCGAGTGGTCCGGTGGCGAGTCGCCCTTGGCGAGTTGATCGTGTCCCAGTTTGTGTTGTCAATGCCCTAGCTTCACGGGTTTACTTGCTTTATTTGGTTTCAATGCAAGATTATTTAAAACGCAGCGATGCCTTAGGGCTTAGTTTCTGCAAATGTACACAGTACATGCTGCATTATTTCTTTAAAGTACAGGCATTGGTACAGGTATTTAAGGTTAAGATATTACTATTTAACCCTTTGATTATATTATTAACCCCGAATGGTATATATTTGGTATGTATTTCATTCCTAAAGAAACAAAAAAACCCATGAACGGACGCACGAAATGTGTTTGTCAACAAAAAAATCAGCAACGTTGCCAAACTTACAAAAAGATTACAAAATGCACATAAAGTACTTTAGGTTCGGCTCATTTAAATAAATAAATGATCTTCAATAAGCAAATAGCGTCGTTTTTTCTCAATTAATTATCTCTTCCTTGCACATATGTTAATGAATGTAACCTTATTTTTTGTTCAAAATTCACTTTTTCAAAAAGTTTTTTTTCACATCTCCAAATCAAAGGACTGTAATAATGAAATTAGGCGTAATCAAAATGCCCGGTAAATCGCGTTTCGTTCCATTGCATTCATAAATATTCGGTTACAAATTACATCAGTTATTTAGAAAAATGGCGGATGATGAAAAACTAGAAGACGTGCAATTACTTAAAAGCACTTTAATTTCGGTTTACGTCGATGAAGCATTGCAAGATATGCTCGTTGTTACATTTAAATATGGGCTGAAACTGTTTAAAGGGATTCTTTTGGATTCTACCAAAAGGTAGGTTAATCATTTTTGTTTTTGTAGCATAGATACGCAATTGTTTTTGTCAATATGCCTAGGATGGGAAATTCGTTTCAATTGTGCCAAATGCAGATTTCGTGTGATATTTAATATTAATATCTCAGTGGCTGTTGAATGAAAGGGAAACCGATTATCATATCTATCTAATCGGCCTAGTCTCAGGTATACAATTCCAAGAACAAAACAAATTACTGTCATTATGGTTTCGGATATTGGAATATTTGATTGGAGTACTAATGCTGACATATACCAATGTGTTTTTCTATTTTATCTTGGTCGCAGGTTGGTTGGGAGCAGTTACTGAATTGGAATGTCAGAAAGACATTTAGGGATAGTGAAGTAATCGAACATATCAAATAGTGGTACTGAGCTTGGAATGTTGATAAAACAGGGTATTAGAGTTATTCTGAAAACGCATAACCTTCAACCATAAGGTCGGGGTATAGGCTTGATAGCATTTCCGACTATAATGCTTGTTATACAGCAATGCATTGAACAACAATACAGCATGGAGTAGTAGATGTGTAATGAAATGACCAAAACAGTAATTAACGTTTCATCCGAGCCTCAAAGCAGAACAACGGGAGACATAGAAACAAAATCATTGCTGCAGAAAGGTTGAACAATTGGATGCAAAAAAATGTGCTCCCAAGGTCACACCTGTCAGTCCTGTGGCACCGTGCCGATCAGTGACTGCAGTTTGTAATGATTTTTCTGTGCATTGACGAACATGGCAGCTTCCGGAGAGCGTGTTCTTTGTTCCTTATTTCTAAACAATTTCAGAACTAGGCTCCATTCTAGTGTTCCCGTATATAGACTATCACGTGGTACTTGCAGAAACATTAAAAACACTCTGCTTTGGTTCATTTGAGGGATTTATCTATTGCAGCATTGTGGTGTGGAATACTGGCATTATTTAGCATTCTGGTATGTTATTCTGCTTAGAAGCAAGTCAATTATAATCTCGGAAACAAATGGAAATAGATTTCTGATAATTTGTATGTAAGGGGTATTTAATGATACCGCCTCAACTAAAATGTTATCACTTCTATATGATTTCCGGTTTTACCTGAAATTGACCCTCACTTTGCTATTTAAATGGGGGTTTTCACTAATTACTTTCTGTGGTGCAAGCCAGACCGATTATTTTCAAGATTTGTGTAAATAAGATCTTATACCTTACCCAGTACTTGTGTAAAATATTTCTGTGATAGAAATCGCCTTTCCTCGCTTCATCAGTCTATTCCACACTACAAAATATCGAGCAGTTTCTGTGCCCGTGTAAAAAATTAATGGTTCTTGCAACAAAACGAAAATTTGTGCAGCTACTGCAACAGCTGACTTTGGTTTAACAGCATCATCATGAAAGAAATGGTATTTTATCATATAAATAAATTAATTTGGAATGTTAAACTAGAAAACTTCTTGGGATTTAACAAGAAAATTCTAATTGCCTTAGTGTCAGAAAATATTAGATAAATACTAAAGAAGCAAAAATTAAAAAAAGACTTCTTCCACAGAACACAGGATCTGAACTAAAAAGTCAAAAATAATTTTTTATTATTTTATTTTATTTGTGCCTCTATTTTTGAGTGGGCGGGGTTTCAGCAAAGGCTGTTTTCGGGCCGTAAAACTACTTAAGAGATTTTAATAGGTGACCAACAGTTTTCAGAGCTTCCAAGAGTCGATAAGAACCTTCTAAAGACTGTTAAAGTTTTGTATGTAAAAAACCTTTCATTTCAGGAATATTCAAACGAGTCCAAGGGTTTTCTATGGGCTTTGGAAGTTTTTCATTGACTTTTGGAGTCTTTACGTCTAAACGGGCGTTTGAAAGTAGTGCCTTGAAGAGAAAGTAAACGTTTTCCACTAGTTTCTAGAAGCTTCATAAGGTCTCCAATAGTTTTCCAGAAAGTTGTAGTCATTTTCTCGATCCTTGAAGAGCTTTTGTGAGAATCTTTATAGGCCTTTAACATTCTTTAGGAGCGGGCCTTCTCGGGTGCCTTTAAAGGATCTAAAACGTAATAGAGTCTACATTTCGTCTAAAATCTTCAAGCACCTTTTAAAACCTTTAGTAGACGTTCAGTTTTTATGAGCTTTTAAGAGCCTTAGTCTGTAAATCGTTTAAAAATCAAACTTTGAAGAGCCTTTAAGGAGCTGTTATGAGTTTTTAAGGTTTTCTAAGAGCTTTAAGAGTTGTTTGTCAAAGAAACTAATAATCTCAAAGTCTTTGAAATTAATTCTTTAAGGTATGAAAGAAGCAAAAACATTTTTTCCAATTAAAAGAAAGTGGTCATTCTGGCTCGTTTGGCTCCATTTTTTTAAACCTTATTTAAAGTGTGTTGGAGAGAAAGGTTGCTCGGGGACCTCCTTGTGTAAGAAAATATAAAATAATAAGAGTTATATACTCTCTATCCTTATCTTTCTTAAAAGCTGGGCATGATTCCAGTTTATGGTCGATTCTATGAGAGAGACGCCAAATTTTTGCTCCGTGTATCACACTTCCACCATTGGAGTCTTACGTGGAATTTCGATCGATCGAGACGATCGCGTACATTTATTTCAAAAAGCAGGGCAAACCAAAATAAATTGTTAGCACTATCAATAAAAGTAATAGAGACGTTGTGTACTCTTTTTGAGTTAATCTTAAAATTGGAAAATCAAATGACCCCATATTTTCTTAGTTAAAAAAGACACAGAAATATGTTATTAGAAAAGTTCCTTTATAATGATTGTTGAATAATCCACCTAAATAAGGGAATACGGGATCTGGTAAAAAAGTTCCCGGACCTAACCTCATTTTCTTTTCCAAAATATAGCACAAAAGAGAAATTCTGAAAAAATTAACTCAAATTCATAAAGGTTAAACAAATTCAAAAATCTTTTTAAAATCATTTTTTAATATCTTTGAATTGTTTTTAATCACTTGAATATTTTTTATTATCATCCATGGTGCGTTACTTATGTTTAGAAACAAAATTTAATATGCCATTTCTAAGTACCGAAAATTGGTTTATTTTTTCTCGATAACGTTCGCTAATAGGAAAAAATTACAAGAAACCAAAAGTTTCCAAAAAAATCAGAAAATCAAATTCTTATTTTACAATCTACCAGTGGTGCACCGAAAAAAGTTTGAGAGTAGAAAACGAAACCCTTGAAACAACAACACCCTGTAGATTCTTGCTACCACTAACATGACCAATGATGTAAGCCCTTCAGTGTAACTTATATTTTAAATTTGAGCAAGATACCTCAAAAACTGCAGGAGATATACAAGAAAAACTTAAATAATTGTGAATTAACACCCTGTAGATTAGTAATCAGAATTAGCCCTTTCCATACGTACATCATATTAAGGAACACCCTGTATAAGGTATAAAAAATTATACTGCCTCAATTGCAATTTTTTACTCAAAAGTCACCCCCGTATCACCACCCCTGGCCATCGCCGGTCAATTTCGAGGACATATCTAGACGCTGCGCTCCCAAAAAAACCTCGAGTAACGATTTCTAAGCAATTTCTCCACCTAATAATAAATACATTTTTGCCTCCATTACGCAATTTAAAAAAAAAATGGGCTCAACCAGTAGTATGCAACATTTTTCTTCGTATTTATCTACACACTATGCCAAAAAGGCAAAAACCGCATATCTGTTTGCAAAAATGTACAACTGTTTTCCTTATTTCCCTCATCTATTCTACAAACGGTATATTATTCAACATTCATTATAAATAAGTGTAAGCGAGAGTGTAAGTTTCACCCAAAAAAAGCACATAACGCCTATCTTAAAGATGTAATGTAAAATTCGATTAAAGAAATCCTATCCTTTGTGTTTCTTTTTGATATTTTGAAAAATAAGTCATCTTTAAAAAAATAAATATGACAACCGCGCAGTTTTAAAAATTCGTTAAGCCGCTTGTGAGCAAGAGGTGACGAGTGCACTTTCAAATTTTTTTTTCGATTTTAATAACCCTTGTGGCCATTTACGAATTTACGCCCCAATGCTAATTTCTTTATATCGAAATATTTTCTGCCATAATTAATGTAGTTTTGGAGCAAATATATGTACCTAAATAGGTTTCTTGTAGCTTGAAAAATTCTGCGTCTGCTCATGTCTCATTTATTATTTTTTAATTCGGGAAACCGGAAAAATTAATAAAGTAGAATTTAGCATTTGCGTAAAAGCATGCTGCATGGACGAATTTTTGTTTCAACAATCTCTCTACACGAGTGATTTTTACTTAAATGCTAATTTATCATTTCCTTAATTTCTCCCATTCCCCAAAATAAAAAATTCCAAATGGGCACATGAATAGACCCAGAATTTTACAAGCTACACAAAATTTATTTACTTTGGTGTAAAATAATTAGGGGAGAAAATATTTCAATATAAAGAAATTAACGTTGAAATATCTATGGTGCGTAAACCAATTCTCGAGCCAATTCTACACCCTGATGTATTGTGCTATCTAATGCTTTTCCATTCTGTAAATCTCTACTTTAGCCACACCTTTATTTCCTTGTATTTTTAGCATTCTTAACTCTCTTCAGTCGTATTTTAACTTCCTCCACACACACATGAGCACTATTTATTTTCTGCATCGCCCAATGCTGCAGTAGAGTGTCCCTAGTCTGCGATATGGACCATCAAAATATTGTGTCTGCGTTGCGGGCATTCGGCGAAGCAGGGGCGGATGGGCAACCTTGCACCGGCCCTGGAGATAAGCCGCCCGGGCGGTGGGGGGGGGGGCTTCAAAATTTTTTAAATAAGCGGAAATGGTTGAATTTTATTTTATTTTAGGACATCTAGTTAAATAATACATAAGTAAGTGAAATAGTCGAACTTAACATAGGTAAATGGATGACTAAACTATCTTAGTAAAAGCATAGGGTAAAAGTAAACAAAAAATGTAACTCTAAACCTAATTTCACTTTGCTGAATCAGCAGTCAGTTTAAAATTTAACCAGCCCACTTCGGCAAATTTAAAAGAGCTAACTTGCCTTTTTACTTGGAAATATGCTACATAGGTATACTTTACGGAAAAGTAGTTTTTTTCTAAGAAATTCAGGAATTGTTAGAATTTCGTCGCATAACGCATAAACTATTTAGTAGGTAGGTATTTATTTAGGTACATTTTGCAAATTTGAAGTTATTATAAGGATTACGGTCTACGGATGGTGAAAGTGAAAAAAGCGTATTACTTATTAGAAAGATGACATCAGACATCAACAAGTCTAAGCGCCTTCTAATTTGTTCACCGCGCCACGCCGGACTCCACCTGCCCATATGGAACCGGCCCTTCGGGCACTTGCCCGAATGCCCGGCCGTCCCATCCGCCCCTGCGGCGAAGTGTCCTAGACCCCTGCAGTAGAGACCACTCAATACTATCCATGTATACTACAGCATTTCAATCCCGCATAAAAATACTGCAGCAACCTTGTCCTGCAACTCTCGAGATGGTTCCAATTTTTCTTCAGTTCTTTCTCTACCTCCTCATCATTATGATCAGTGGTAGGCCTATATGAAATGCGAAAAAAATCAGTTTTAGTTGTTTATTTATCCACCACTCACAAGACCACGAACTTATAAATTAAGATGGACTGCTAATGCTGAATTAACAAATGACACCTACATGGGGGCCGCCATGATGTGCACTCACATGGCGCGAAATTCAAATCAACTAATAAACAAGCATTAACCTCACGTTTTCTAAATAAATTACTGTGATACATGTCATTTTCCAAGACTGCAATAGTCTTAAAACTTGAGCACTAGGAAAATTCCCCTAGAAAATAACTAAAATGTGCACATCATGGCGGCGCCCACGCTAGGGCCATTTCTACCTCTATGCAACTGTTTGATCAGCAGTCCATCTTAATTTATAAGTTCGTGCACAAGACACATGTGCAGCTAGTTCAAAACAAATCAAAATTGAAACTACTGTTGACTTAAAATTTCTCAATTTGGGAGACTCAATGGCCTCGATCAACTTCAGAAAATTCCAAATGATTAACTACACAAATTTTCATTAACACCTGACAATTCTTGGAACACGAAGAGAAGAGAACCCTAACAAAAGGCCTCACTGCTTCCTTTTTCAACTCGAAAAAACTATCCGTAATTGGACAACACGCGTTAAACTTCTCACACAACTTTGGTTAACTTGCTTCTGCACATAAGTACATATTTACTTCCCCTAATTTGTTGTACACGTTTTTTAACTGTCGTGAAAAGTAACAGCAGCAGAGGGCAGCCCCGTGTTTTCGGTGGCTCCAGTATTTCAGGAAGCACCACTTTCACCATCAAATAAGACTCCTTCGTTATTAATTTTCAGATAAATCGCTAATCTGCGACGGAACGCGCCAAACGTCCCCATTTCTCCATTATGAAACGCACAATTCTTCGTAACACCTTATCTCTTATTAGCACCAGATATGCATTCCCTTGAAATTAATTAACTTTTGCCTCCTCATTGCAACCTTTTATATAATATACAAACTTGACCAGATGTGTCTCACTTATAACACTTTATCTAAATTAAATAAATTACAAAAGCGATAAAATTTCAACAAGAATTACGCCTTAGCAAAATTTTTAAAAGGAAAAACAACACTGAGATACAAATTCAAATAAAACGAGCCAACTCTGTGCTTGTTTCGTAAATAATCCTCCAGATTTACATACATTAAAATATTCTCATATAGGTACAGGATGTCTCCATTATTTTTGGTGTTTATACCGAAATAACGTCTACATGACGTTGGTTACGCAAGTCTTGAAATCGACTTCCTAAATTCTCGATGTAACTTTTCAGTTAAAATCAAAGTTGGCCTTAGATGCGCAGTAAACGAGTTTGCGCGGTTTACTCGAATCGACTCGAATGTTTCCAGTGCTGTAGTCATGATAACAAGCCGCAAGCGTGATATTATAAGTGAGATATACTCGTCAACTGCACGCCACTGAAGTAGAAATCTCAATCGTCAAGTTTTCTCGACAGTTGCCGATTTCATAATCGGACTGCGCCGTTAGTTGCCGTCGAGGTTGCGATTTGTACTTAATAATAATAATAATGTATATTTTGCCCAAGAGATGAGTTAACAGACAAAATCCATATAAACTATACACAAGCAAGTACAGTAACAAAAAGAAAAATTTAAATATATGAGTAGAATAACAACAAAATTAAAAATACATCATATAGCAAAGACAAAAATATTTTAACATTTCTTATAATATTAATTATTAACAATAAGAATCTAAAAATTGAACCTTTGACATACAATACAAGATATAGTTTTTAGAAAACATGTTACAATACTTACACATTCTATAAAATGGCGAATTCTTCAAAATATTAGATTTACAATACGGTATATAAAATGTATCATTACCACGATAACCAACACAGGGAACATAAAAGTTAAGGGATTGTAACAAATCAGGACAATCGATCTTATTGTGGATAAGGTTATGGAGAAAAGATATACTCGTTTTTACTCTAAGATTTTCTAGAGAGTCCATATTCCTTGCTAACAATAGTTCAGTCATGATCGCAGTGTAAATCGGGATAGGTGCGATGCATGCTAAAGTATAAGTATCGGGCGATCAAAAATGAGTGACTGTCGAGTCGCCTTTGGAAGTACAAGTTAAGTACGATTTCCCTTGTAAACAAAATTTCCAAAGGTGACTCGACGGTCACTCATTTTTTATCGCTTTGTATTTACAACATTTCCTTTTGACAGACAATTTATACACATTATAGGGCTCCATATTAATGATGCATACTCAAGCTTAGATCGAATTGTCGCAAGATATAATGATCTATACTTGCAGCCAACTAAACTTTTTTAGTACCCCAGCTATATTAAAAAAATTTTAATGAATTTATTTGAACAGCATTTACATTGCTTACATCTTTTTTAGGAATCTGCCGTTTGGTGTGTCAAAACTGCATCCCGCTTTCACAACGAGTAATGCAAAACCAAACGCCGATGATGACGTCTTATACTCGGTCAACCAAAGATTTGCATATACAGATCCCACAAATCTCACAAAACCTAAAAATGTTCGAATTCCATCCAAATATAAGAACAATAAAATGACAGTTAGACTTAGGCCACGTCAGGTATTATGCTCAAAATGTAAAGGTATTTGCAACGAAAATTCGGAGAATATTTCCAAGAAACGAAAACTGCCCGAGAATGTTCAACAAGCACCGCCACCTAAACGATCAGCAAATGCACCGATGACCCGATCAGTATATAGCGAACAATTAACTAAAAAGAAAATCACGGACCAGCAATTGCAACCCACATTAATTCCAAAATTGTCGAGATTATTACCTCAAGATATATCGGATGCACTAAATGGTAATCTGGATAATTTAAATCCGAAGGACGAAGTCAAAAAAGAACTTGTAAATATATCGAATCCCGTTACAAAATTAAATAATAATAGCGATACGGACGTAGATGAAGATTCTAACAAATCACTTACCGACAAAATAATAGATCATTCCATGCAGCATTCCGACAATTCAAATTCATCTCAGATCGTATCAAAAATTCCCGTATTAACTATGACCACACAGGGTACAGAGCTTTGCGTTAAAAATATTAAGCGAACTTTAAGGAAAAAGCGGAGTGTCGGATCAATGGAAGATTTATGGGATGAAAGTGTATTTGAAGAAAGGGTTCATCTCAGGAATAATGACTCAAACGGTAACAATGGAGGAATAGTAACAGAACAAATGAACAATAACTCAAACACATGTATTAGTACAAGAACGATAAAAATATGTTACGGTCCACAGGGTGAGGGTACTGTACTTAAAATTCCAGCTCCCATAGACAAATTTAATGCTAGCGACGATTCGGAAGAAAATATTAATATAGATAATCAAAATGTGGAGCAGGATTCCGATAATAAAGCAGTTAGAAAAGCTTTGAAACGAGCTAAAAGAAAGGCCCGCCAAAAACGTATGCTGTCAGGAAACTCGCCTAATCACATTCACTCGTTATCACCCAGATATAGTATAGGGGCGGGTTCGCCGAGGTATTCGTTTGGCACCTCCCCACGTCATTATATCGGGGGTCACTCGCCTAGATATGTAAGTTCCTCCACTGAACTCCATCTTTCAAGAAGACACAAACATAAATTAAAAAGAAAGAAAAAACATAGAGTGGAAAAAGATCGGAAGCATAAAGATGGTGATGTAAGTATTACGTTCCGTTACTGTTCAATTACTTACTTTATCATTTTTAGACATCTGGTCCGGAAAATACGGGAAAGGAACAGGCTGTGACCCAAAAGTTATCTATAAACTTAAAGCGCTTAAATAATACTTACACATCATGTTCAAATGCGTCGGACAAAGGTGAAGAAAATACGTCGAGTTCGGACGAACAAAGTGAACTGGTGCCCGACTTTCCTCCTTCCAATTCTCCCATACTGTTACGCGTAAATGCACAAACTGTCGTAAGTGCTTCGGGTGCTGATGGTAAGACAAAAAGTGTTACATAAAGTGTGTCTTATTTCGATAAGTTCAGGAGGTCGTGTGCTGGCGGGTGATGTTGTGTGGGGTAAAATTCACGGATTCCCATGGTGGCCCGGTAAAGTACTTACCATCAGTTCGGCTGGAAATCAAGTACCTCAAGCTCATGTTTCATGGTATGGTTCTTCTACCTCATCTTTAATACAATGTGATCAACTGGCACCCTATTTGGAAAATTTTAAGGTAAAGTTTATGAATATTACTGAGACCCCATGATTTTCAATGACACCAGTTGCATATAGCACTTTTGGAAATGTTGATCTCTGATTTGCATCCCAACCGAGCTCAGAGTGTCACCCAGTCCTTCTTTTAAAAATTTAAATAACTATATATCTGTGTTAAATCACATAAATGAACAAATTGTTAAAAATGTATTATGTTTTATAGTACAGTTTGTATAATGGATCTTTGATCGCGTGTTTTTTAAGAAGCCGACAAGAACACAGTGTTCTGTTTCAGCAGGGGCGGATGGGCCCACCGGGATACCGGGAAATTTCCCGGTGGCCCGTCGTAACCAACTGTTATAAATGTATAGTTGTATTTGTATACTTAGTCGTTCAAGATTGGAAGAGACATAGAAAAATAAAGTACGGAAGATTTTTCTCGATTTAGGTCACAGGAATGACTGACTCTCGGTCGACTGAACTGTGATTCTCAGCGCGAGGCGTGGTACGGTGACGATCGTAACTTGTACCGTATCCGTACGTTGACTGGCGATTGCGTCTGCTCACTGCTCTATTTCACGGAAACACTTGTTTGGCTAGTTCAAGTTGGGCACTGCACGATGACGATGGTTTAGAAACAAGATATGCCGAGGCCGAGGAAGATGGATCAAAGTCAAAAACATGCACTGAAACCAAAAAATGCCAGAACTGCGTTATATGCTGCTATTGTGCAATTTTAAAATATAACTTGTTTAAGGGAGCCTATTCTACACTGGCACTGGCTTATCAATATATACTTTCATTACCCATTTCGCAGGTAGCTTGTGAGCGTTCTTTTTCGACGCTAAAATTAATAAAGAATAGGTTAAGGAACACTTTGTCTGATAATAGACTTGAGTCATTCATGCGTTCACAGAGTTGGACTGGGTCAAGCATAGAGTGACCCAGTGACCCGGTGACCCAGTTAGTTTACTGACCCGGTGACCCAGTTGACCCAGTGACCCAGCTTGACCCAGTGACCCATCTTGACCCAGCTTTACTCAGTGACCCGTCTTGACCCGGTGGCCCAGTAATTAAATTATTGTTAGGTATCATCCAAAACAATTTCAAGTAACTTTTAATTAAAAAAAAACTTCCTCAATAATATTCGGCAACAAGCACGTAGCCCAATTTCATTCAAGAGAACTAATACCTAAAAAAAATCAAATGCATTTGTTTATAGTTTGTAGTCAAGTAGTCAATGAAAGTATTTAGAGAAAAGATTTATTTGGATTAAGCTAACTAGTAGAAAAAAATTAAATGTGAATGAACACCTGTAAGCAAACTGGAAAGCCCTGAAGCAAAGAAATAACATTATTCTAATACAATTCGGGACATGGAAAGTTTTTTACGGCAGTATTAAAGCAAACATCACAGAAATATGGCAGTTGTCAAGCAATCGAGTATTATTTTCAACAAACCAGCATTTCATTTATTGCATAATCTGTACACTTGAACCGAGGGCACTGAGTTAACTGCGTTATTCGATCAAACTAGGTGACTGGGTCGAATTGGGTCCCCGGGTGAAATTGGGTCGCTGGGTCAAACTGGGTCACTGGGTCTAACTGAAAAGAGTATGACGTGACCCAGTGACCCAGTTTAATTTAGTGACCCAGTTGACCCAGTGACCCAGTCCAACTCTGTGATGAACATCGAGAATGAAATTTTAAACGATATCGACAATGAAGACGTAATCAATCGTTTAGGTCAAACTACCAAACTAATGAAGGGTGCATTATTGTATTAATGATTTTTATATTATAAATTATAATATTTATATTCTCCAATAATCTGTAAGAATACTAATGTTTTGGGTTACCTTACCTACTGTTTTATTATAATAATGTTTATGTTCTGTAAGAAACTTAATTTTATGATTTTTTTCATTATCATACATATTTTTTAATAAACACACCATTCGTCAAAAAAAACATAATTTGCTGATCGCTGCTTATAATTTTGGCCTGCCATCAGTCAGTTTCCCGGTATGATTTTAGTTGCCCATCCGCCCCTGTGTTTCAGTCTCTAGTGCACAATCCAGAATTTATGGTAACTTGATGCGTGTCTGCATTGATTTCATTTCATAACGATCGGTTATTGTTGCCAATCAAAGATCCATTATACAAACTGTAGGTGTATGTACAGCTGTATAAACTCACCCGGTTACTTAATTTGTTTGATATACGTGAGCGAGTGGCTCTGAAATACGGTCCCAATTTTGTAAATGCGTGCGAAAGCTGGCGGCGCCAGTGAGTCGTGATAGATGGCGTGTTCGCTTCAGATTACAGGAAATATTTTGTTTACTTTGCAGCGAGCTTGCTGCGCAGGATGGGTTTTGCAACGTCAGCGGCAATTACTTCACGTTGAATCAATTTATTGCTGTCAAGTTACGCAAAGGTTGGTTTTAATTGGTGGAAAAGACAAAATGAGGGTCAATCAAAAAGTAAAGTAGTGGTAGTGTTTGAGAGAACCGTGACGCATTTAGTTATTTAATATTGAGTCGTCAGACAGATAGTGTGTAGCGCTGAGCGAAATTAAGTCGGTCACCTGTGAATCACTGTAAGGTGTGAAACGGGTAACATTTTAAACGCGCTAATAAAAATTTAGTACCCTCATACACAAAGTAAAATCTACAGCTTAAAAACTATTACGTTAAATACGAACAATAATGGAAAATTTAACCCACAAAGATTAAAGATGCGTGATAAAGTGAATAAAGTTTCATTGCAAGAAGGGGAATATTGTTACGGTAAATACGGATAACGGCGTAATACTAGCAGTGCGAAATTAAATTCTTTCATTCAAGGCGAATACACTTATCACTGGAACTGGAAAAATGGGGAAAAAGTATAACGTTTTTTTTTTCAGGAAGTCGATGTTGCCTTAGAATTATAAAATCAAAAAATGATTTACTTTTCCGCACGGTAGCATTTGTTGAGACCCAGCACTTCCCTTTTATTGTATTTAATTTTCATGCATCGCTTTCGCCGTTTATTGAACAAAGTAGCAATTTTTCACATGGATGTTCAATTTGCTTTTATAAGATGTACATACCGTTAAAATTTCACGAGAATGGGGTCATCCCGCCTTCATTTTTTATTTCTGATCCACAAAGTACATTAAAAATAAAAAGACCCGTGTGTCCTCAATTTTTATTTGCGAGTAAAATAAACCCAAAATAAATTATTGAAAAGCTGTATTTTTAGTCCGAATTTGAAACGCTTCAGACTAAATACGTCACAAACCTACAACCAATCACGTAGAAGTGACCTTACGCGAGGGTCTGACGTTTGTCACATTTGACGTTTTGAGAGGGATGTTTAACTGCATCTAGCACGAAAGTGACAAGTGCCTGTAACAGGTGACGCAAGTTATAAATGCCACTCTCCTGCAATATTGCCAAGTCGTTATGTCATCTGAATGGTTCTAGGAGCTGATTGGTCGGGCTTATTACGTCACAGAGCCCGCCACAATCATATCGTTTTGAATAAACCTTTAAAACCGCACATGTTCATTATTTTTTTGTTAATCAGCCTCTATTTTTAAATAAACTTTTACTGTCTACAAAAATGTTTTATGGTTTCAGGTACACGCTTATTAAATTAGAACTGCGGAATTCAACTATACTGTAAACCCCCATTAGTCCACAAATACATAATTTATTTTTGCACATGCGCGCGCTAATTGATATAATCGATCGATTTATATGTCCTCTGAAATGACTGAATAAAGACAAATCTAAAAAGCTCAATTTATATTACACTTTTTTCGTCTAGAAACTTTGACTAGAACTTGTACTAGATCCGACACTATACTAGAAATTTAAATTTACCGCTTTTTGGTGCATTGACTTTTTTTGTTTCAATGGCAGTGCGGCCAATTTCGGAAAACAAATCTCAATATTGTACATTTTGAGGTTAATTTAAATGGCTTGAAAACAAACATGAATAACATGCAAAAGAAACTCTTTTTTGCTATGTACATGTACCTAATTCAAGAGACATATTTGAGGTTATGTTCAAGAGTATAAAAATAAAGTTGTTGGCAGCACGTAATTTGTTCTAGTTTGGTACTAGTGCGCAAGTCACAAGTATGAAAGTTGGATGGAAAATGGGTCTGGACCGAGTTTCAAATCTAGTGTCTAGATTAGAAACTTGGATGGAATTTTCTGATTTACATTGTCAAAATTTCAACAAGTTCGTCTAGTACAAGTTCTAGTCAAAGTTTCAGGACGAAAAAAGTATAATGTAAATTGAGCACAGTTGCAACAGTTGGTTTTGCGCATACGCAATGCCAACTTCCTTATTTACTGAAGCATTTAAATGAAATTTACTACATAGACACTTGGAATTCAACCAAATCTAACACCAGATTTAAAATTTGGTTTTGCGCATGCAGAATGGCAACTTTCTTATTTATGAAAGCAGTTAAATGAAATATAATCAGAGCTGGGTAACATATGTACTTTTCAAAATCTATTTAAAATAGAAAATACAGAATAAGAAATGCTAATTTATTTTAAATACAAGATACTAAACAGGTTTGGTATTTCTATTTAAAATACCAAATAGAAAATAGGTATTTGAACTAAATATCTACCTGTTCATTGAGCGTTATTATTGTAACATTCATAAAGCAAGAGAATATTAAACAATCGTTTCTCATGATTTAATTATTTGTTTTAAGTAAAAGCAGTTTTTTAAGTTGTGCGTCTGTTAAACATCTTCTTTTTGGTCGCATAATCATTATTTCTGCATAGGAAAACAAGCGTTTCACAAGAGCCGACTAAGGAATTGTAGTTCTATTATTATTGGATATTGATCCAACATGGGCAAGTCCATAGGCAACACTAAAACCGATAGAAACGATAGATTAACATAGGCTCAAAAATGTTTCAAATATAAAATAGAAAATACCTTGAGAAATCTATTTCAAATACAAAATATAAAATAGTTTTTATAAGTTTATTTAAAATAGATTCATTGATTGAAAGAGAATGGGGGTAAGGATCTCATGCCTACCAGTATTTTTTCCTGGTCCTAGCATTAAATTTATTAGGAGGAAAATACGCTCTCGTCATTTATGTTTGCATAATGACTTTTTGCGCTTTAGGCGACAAAACACATACTATATCGAAGTACCTACTACCATTGTATATACGAATAATATTGGAATTAATAACAAAAATAGCAACATAATACCATTAATTTTTGTACTCGTATTACGCAATATAATATGGTATGGTATTACTAATAATACTAAAACACAGTGTAAAAGGTACTGTACTACGTATTATAATACCAGCGAAGTGTACCCCTTACTGAGTCATCCCTCATTGTGAAGATATGTGATTCTGATGATAATGTTTATTGATAACACAAGTCATCTTCATCAAGCATGCTTTTACCAAAAAATTGCTGCCGCAATGCGCTCCTAAATCCAGGAACTAACAGATTATTTATATATATTATATATGTTTGTTTTGTTTTGTTTTTTGTATTAGTGTACTAAAGTATATACTTGATGACCCATCACGCACGAGCCTTGGCTTATGTAATTGTTGCCAATTTTTCATTATATTCAATAACCATATATTATGCTAAATAAATACAAATACAAATTCCAGCAAACAAAGTTGTCCACAGTGGCACAACGAGTATTTTGCATAAGAACCCTGTTATCATTGCTTTGATTTGACAGCATTCGATTTTCTGCAAAGTCAAATTCAATGGTCTTGTAAACCGTTGCTTTAAGCTGAATTTATAGTTCCGTACCCGCAACATTGTACCGTAACGTTTGGAATTAAACCATACTTCTTGCGCGTGAACATTTATAGTTGGCGTTAACGTTGCGTTAGAACGGTTACGGTACGTAGGAAATGCCCAAATCTTATTTCTTACGGTCAATCGTGCTAACGCGCTTGTCTTCGGTAGTACTCGGATAATTCAAACAGTTGAGTTTATTCTGACGTTCGTTTCGTTTATTTACAATAATTATTGACACTTTGTTGGTTATTATTATTTTGAAATGCACGTTACTCTTACTGACAGATGACATCACAGAATAAGACATAATAATAATAATAATAATGACATACAATGACAGAATTCGTTACGCGCTAATGTGCAAGCTGCCGCTTGCCACTACGGAACTATAAATCGTATTATTTTCGTTAACGTAAGATTTTACGGTTCCGTTCTTACGTTATTACGGCTACGGAATTATAAATCCGGCTTAACACACGAGCCCAATGGATTGCGGTACTTTCTATATTTAGTGACTTTAGATTCCAGATTGCAGTTACGCCCCCTAGCGGTCATTTCAGAAACTTAAAAATATTTTCCAGGTTTTGCTCTTGGCCGTTTTAGTAATAAATTTTTTACCGCAAGCCTCTACGATGGATAGATTCTCAGATACTCACATTCTTAGTTGGCCACCCTGTACAGATGGTCCTTCGGAAGCGTTAAGAACTGCCCCTGACACGTTTCTCCCTTTATTAACGAGCTCATTTATAAAAGTAAATGAAATTTGATACATAATCACTTGGAATAAAACCAAATTTAACGCCAGTGTCCAAATTTCGTTTTGCGCATGCGCAGTGCCATCTTTCTTATTTATGGAGGCATTTAAATGAAATTTCATACATATACACCTTAAATAAAAGCAAAACTAAGATCAGGTTTAAAATTTGGTTTTGTCCATGCTATAGCCATACCCAGGAGCTCGTTTTCTATATATGTTTAGTTTATTTTATATCAAACGTAAATTCAACACCTTGTATAAAGTGTGTGGCCGGGTCCCCTAGAGATCTTGCACTCATTTTTTAAAATGTTGTTTTTTTGCGTAGCATCCCACGATATATAAACAAATCGAACAAACCGATCAACGGGGCGGTATGCCTTACACGAAATTTCTGTGCAAAACTCCTCCGGGCGAAATCAATCCGCTCGCGGAAAATGAGGAGTTGAAGACTGCGCGCCTGCAAGCGGCCCGAGCGCGCCTGAACGAGTACTCAACGCCAGCCAGTCCCAGTCCGCCTAGGGACGTTTCGATTATCACGCCCCCCGTTGTTATACCAACCGAAAAGGTTCCACGGTAAGTCCATTCCGGCAGATGGTCACATGCTAATAATAAAGCGGTGCCTATTTTCAGAAAGCCGAACCCGGACGATTTCATGATCAAATCATGGGACCACACCTTCGAGAAGCGTTCCTCCCATTCCAACTCTGAGCATTACAAAACCGATAAGCCCGACATATACAGGAGGGCCGCGGAGAGTCTGACGGCCAATCTAAACAAAAAACCCGTCTTTGAAAGGCTCGGCACTCGCGTTGATATGAGCGTACCGCCTCTGTCGGCCGAGGACCTAATGCAACTCACCGAATCCGACAGCGTGACTGTGACCGATTTGGAGCACGTCCGTGACGACCTGAAGAAGAAGCTTAGCCAGGAGGAAGGCAAATGTCATATACCAGATTTGCGAATGAAATTGACGAGGGATCGCCAAAAGGAGCACAACAAAAGTCAGAGCTCGTCAAAACCGCGGACCGAGAAGGTCTTCAAGGATCCCGACAGTAAATTTGGCAGTCTCCTCTCCAGCATTGACGACCAGATTTTGGAAAAGAAAGACACTAGCAAAAAGGACGAGAAGCGGTCGCGAAGTGATAAAGACAGAGAACGGGATAAACACAAGCACAAAAGCAAAAAGCGGGATCGGTCCAAGGAGCGACGTCGGTCGAAGGATCGGAAGCATCACGACAAGGATAGAGATAAGGACAAAGACAAGCCGAAGGACAAGAAGGAAGAGAGCAGTAAAAAGGAGACTGTTAAGAAGGAGAGCGAAAAGAAAGACACGGTGAAAGAGAAAATCGTCGAAAAGGTGAAGGTGGAGGTACCCGAGAAGCCGGTGTTCAAACGCTTAGCCGACAAGTACAATCCGCGCCCCAGGAAGAATAGCATCGAGGTGGTGGAGCGGCCTCCCGAAATCCCGATCAAGGAAGCCGTGCCCAGTGTTAACAAAGATGCGATACTGTCAACGGTGAAAAGTAACCTGTTGCGTAGTATCGACGAAACTCTACTGTGCAACGTTAAAGAGGTACTGCTCTCGAACAAGGATACGCTAACGAGAAACCCAATCGCGAGTCCGGTCGACAAGTTAACCGCCACCATGAAGGAAATCAAGTCGGATAATGATCAGTACTTGACCAGCATTAGAGATACATATTGTCCCCCGAAACCGATTAAAGATATTGTTGGGTCGACCAATCAGATTGAGAAATTTGCCGGTACTGTTGCTAAAGAAGCCAAAAAAGACAACGAGCAATATTTAACCACCATTAAGGATACATATTATCCTCCTAAACCGGTTAACGAAATGTGGAGCCCTTCCTATGGAATGATGCCACAAACCACCATGGAATTCATACCTCCGGTTACCACAAAACGAGCGGGTAACACTTACCTGAACACCTTTATAGTTCACAATAACGTAAGCTCTCACGGCCAGTACACTCAACCGAGCAGCTCATTTCCTCCTAAACCGTTTCATCCGTACGATCCGCTTCCGAGTCCAAATCACTACGAGTCGAATCAACAGCAATTAGACTACTACTCTCATAACCAACGGCCAAACTACCAAAACCGCCCTTATCAACAGCAGTACTCGCGCGATCGCCAACTCACCGACGTGTGGAGCAGCGATCGGCAGCAACCCGACAATTGGAACAACTCGGATAACACGTGGAACCAACAGTCCGACGCAACTTGGACCCAAGATCGGCAACCTTCGGAAAACGCGTGGAGCCAAGAGCCGCGCCAACATTCGGATAACTGGAACCTGGATCCGAGGACCGCCGCTCGTCCCTCGACGTTTAATAGAGATCCCCGCATACGACAGCGAGAGGAAAAGGAGTCGACGCAGAAGATGGTGTTCGTGCCGCCGCCGTCGCAAACGAAGCGGCGCTCCGTCGACGATTACCCCACGTACGGTCAATCGAGGTACGACATGATGTACAACCAAGACCGGATCAAGAACGAGGAAACCTTCACCTCTCCGCTGAACAGCCTGTATACCACCGGCAATGACAGTCAACGCACAGGCAAAGGGTACGGGGTACAGAAGTTCCGCATACCGAAAAAGAAAATGGAAACCGAGGAGCCGAAGACCGAGGAGTGTCCGAAACCCGCCGACGAAGATAACGTCGACGAGTGCGTGCCCAACGACCGAGACATCGACGAGCCCACCGACGTGACACAAGAGGAACAAAGTGAGGCGATACCGGAAACCGTCGCTCCAAAGGAACCGGTCGAAGAAAAGGAACCGGAACCCGCAAAGGCCTCGGTTGCTGAACAGGCGATGTTAACGAACTTTTTTTCCGACTTTGTAAAAAATCCCAATAGCAAGACCATTCTAAACGCCATCCTATGCTCAATGGCGGACAACACGGGCGACAAGAGCAAGTACAAGCAGATCCTGGCGATCATGAACTCCGATGGGAACGAAGAGGAGGAGAAATCGCAGGCGGAAACTGACGACAAAGATAAACTGTCGGAGATTACCGAGCCGGTGACCGAGCAGGCGGAGGTGGTGCCGAAGCAAACGGGAAAGAAGACGGGCTATCGCAATAGAAGAAAAAAGCAAATCGCCAAAAAGGTGAGGCTGAGGAAATCTCGCCGCAACAAGCTAAAGGCGGCGAAAAAAGCGGCGCTCGCCAAAGCCGCCATTACTAAGCAATCGGACACCGTTATCGAGACCGTCGGCGAACGCATTAAGAACCGGAAGCGCAACATACCCGCGCCCGATCCACCCAAAGTCCGCTGTACCGAGCTGGATCGCCTACACAACGACATTAAAGAAATGTTCATATGCGATGGCGTATTGACGGCGACCGGTAAGCGAATGTGCCGCATTTTAAAATCCGACTCGTCGAGCGACAAGGAATCGCCCGACCTGTCCAAGTCGAAAGAAGACGACGCCACGGTCTTAGACTCCCCGAAACGCAGAGCTCGCGCCTCCAATCCCAAGGTGCTAATCGAGAAGACCGACCTCTCTAAGCTAGTCTCGACGAAGGCGAGCTCCGATTCCGACTCGGAACCCGAGTCGCCGGTCACGAGACGAGCCTCCAGACGTCGCCTCCTCGACCTGGACAGCACACCGGAACCGGTCCCTCCCAAACCGGTCTCGGCGCGCGCACTGCTCAAGCGCACATCTAAAATAAAGCCAAACTACACCGAGCCATCCGAGGACGACATCCAGCTGCCGAAATCGCCAAAGCCAGTCGAGAAAAAAGAGGTCGTCGAAGAGAAGGAACCGGCTCCGGAAAAATCGGTCGAGAAAAAGGGCATCAAGAAGAAGAGGCGAGGCCACAACTGGGCGGTCGGCGTGATCAACAAAAGGATCGTGAAGAAAAAGGCGTCGGTCGAGGAACCGGAGACGGTGGCGGCGGAGGTACCGGAACCGCCGGCCAAGGAGGAGAAACCCAAGACCAACGAGCACGACACCAGTTATTACGTCGACTCAGCGGAGAAGAGCGACTGTCGATTGTGCCCGTTCAAGGGCAAGTTCATCGTTCACCACTACCGAACCGTTCATCCTCAGCACGAGGTTTTGATCTCGAGAGTGTCGCCCGAGAACGGGCAGAAAGCGATCGAAGAGTCGACCGAGAACAATTACGAGGAAGTCGAGCCGGTGCATATTTTCGAGGCGAAAAATCGCAAGAAGAGGTTCACGTACCAATGCAGGTTAGTGGATCACTTTGATTTAATCTAAACATACCATGGGTAGAAGGGGGGTGGGTTGATCATTGATTGGGCAAAACATAAAGCTTGCTCGGGTCAGCAATAATGCGCACGTGTTAAAAAATGATCGCGCATGCGCAGACTCAACTTCCTTAGTTACGGACGGATATTTCTGAAACTTGAAGGATGCGCATGCGCGAACTTATATTTCTTATTTGCGACCCAATTCTTCTGAAATTTGAAGATGCTTCTTGTAAAAGCAAATTGAAATTAGAGATCGAATCGAGCTGACCCTAGCGCAGCTTTCTCAGAAAACTCGACTCTGCTTGAAATTATGGATGTTCAGCTCAGACTCGAAACTCCGAAATAAGCTTGGATTCAAAACAATGGATTTTAAAATATTAATTAACTCGTTCTTTAGAAGTTTTTAAACTTGCAGATGAAATAGAAACTTGAAAATTGGGTCACATAAGCGATTGTTGCGAATTGAAATAAAATAACTTTAGATGGCGCCGCTTCTGTAAATACTGGAAGTTGGCGCCATTTTGGTTTTTTAAATAGAAACATTTTCTTTAAAAAAAGGTAATAACTCAAAAACTACAGAATGTAATTAAAAGTGGCCCTAAAGTTCAAATCTACATTCGTTTCTGGCGTCAGAAATAGTAGCAATTAGAAAATATGAAGTTTTTGACATTTTTTGATTCCTAATTTTGAAAAATCGCGGTAGCCCTGGAAACTTTTTCAGCGGTCATTCCAAAAGTTCCTTAGACTTTAAGGATTTGTTATAAACAACAGCACTCACGTATCTTGAACAGTTTAAGAGATGAATTTTTGAATGGACCCTTGCATCTCCAAATTTTTAGAGAAAAATTGACATATGCCAAAAACTAGGTACGCAAAATGGCGCATTTAGAAAAAATAGAAAATGGTATGTTTCTATTTAAAAAAAACCAACCAACTTCTGGTATTTACTAAAGTCACTAAATATAGAAAGTACCGCAATCCATTGGGCTCGTGTGTTGGAGAGAGAACGCATGATTTTTGCCCAAAAATGGCGGAAGTTACCAGATTCTAGTAACTTTAATGTTAGGGATTGTTCCACCTGTTTGGAGATATCTGTATGTATTTTTCAATGAAGAAAGAATACCAGGAAGGAGAACATCAACAATTTACGTGAGACCACGATGGCTTTTGCAAATGGCGGGCAGTAGTTTCCTGTTCCAGTGGCGTACCTACCTTACCGTTGTAGAAGGATACAGTTGTAAACTCCGCCTATGACTTTTGTTTAACTAACCTCAAAGTACATTCCGATAAAAAATTTGTAAATTTACATGTACTATATAAAAATAATATTGGTATCAATACTTACACATGAAATGTAATTCCCAAACTTTTATTTTTTTCCATTTTGGAGCAACCACAAGCACAACAACTAACCATTATTTTATGTCACTTCAAAAGCCACAACAAAAATGAGTCATAAGTGGCTTTTGCAAATGGCCGACTTTCATCCCACTCTCTTGTATACAACCTGAGTAATGCTCCTTCCTGGTATTCTTTATTCATTGGTATTTTTATAAAACATGACAGTACTATGAAGTTAGGTTATAAAAAATTGCAGCTATTCAGATTTTATTTGTCAATTTTTTTAAGTTGCCAGCAAATTTGCCCAAGAATGGCAGATGATTGCGGTACTTTCTATATCTACTGACTTTAGTATTTACGGAAGCGGCGCCATCTTGAAATTATTTTATTTCAATTCACAATAGTCAACTATGGCTGTGAACCAAATTTCAAGTTTCTATGTTAACTGTAAGTTTAAAAACTTCTAACTAACTAGGCTACGTGAATCACCCTGTATATAGATATGTGTAAACCTAAACAATGAAACCTCTGTTTAAAAAATAAAATTTTTTTTTGTACTGCAAAAGTGAGGCATCAGGTGCCTTTAAAAAAGAAAATTGTTTGCAACCCAAAAATTACGAGGAACATGGGGCTCCTGACTGAGTCTTTTTTTGTTTTGTTTCCGTAGCACCAATCCGGCCATTTAGAGTCTGAATAGATTTAGTCGATCTGCTCGACAAGCTCGAAACTGGAGTCTCGTGAAAATTTTAGTACTAATTTAATTTGTCTAACCAACAGAATCGAACGGTAGACGCCATTTTTCAAAATTTCCGACACCGATTTTATTTTGTATGTATTACTGTATAAAAATGACGAACAGTAAATGACAAGTAAACAAAAGGGCTGACTGCCCGAAAATTTAGCGTAAAAAATACACACACACGTCTTCAAACCTGGTGACACAGCAGCCTCGTTTTTTCGTTCATTTCAGTATTTTAAAGAACCACCACACCATAATCTCCTTTAACAAAATTTCAGAAACCTCGCCAATCAGATAATCCGAAGAACGCGTTAAAAACGTCCTCACTTATAACGACACAATTGTTCAGCACCAGATGTGCATTTTTTTATAAATTAATTCACTTTTGCCAGATAAACAGTCCCAAACGATTAAATAAAAACCTTTTTTTCACTACTAGCGTCTGATGACATAATTATTAACCTTTTTTCCACTTGTAAAGTAGGCTTTCTCGGCAGTTGTTCAAAGTGGTTAATAATGTGGACATTATTAACTAGTAGTCAATAATGAGAACTGTCACGCTGTCACTTTTAGAAAACACAACCCCAAATTTCGCTCAATAAACGTTTAGACAAGTTCTCTAAAATGAATAATTGCCACCATCCGTCATTTTCAGAGGAATTACATACCTAAAATTATCACATTTTGAAAAAATTCGAACGAAATTACTCTTTGAAAATATCTCAATGACAGAACAAAATACGGCCTGTTTGACTTGTATTTCTACGTACTTGATTGACATGTTAAATTAATAAACAAAAAATTCTGTCCAACCGTTCATTTTCTTATCAATATAATATGTTAATTTAGAGGATTTCAAGTGCTAGTAGTGAAAAAAATAGTATATACAGGGTGATTCCTATAGTACCTGCCACCGTTTAGGAGCGTATAGGGGGTGTCTAGGGGAGTATTTTGATATAGGACACTTGGGGGTCGGAAATATAAAATAAGGGCGCCAGAACCAAATTTATCTTCTGGAATTTCACGCCTGTATGTAGGCAACCCAACCGACCGCCGTTTCGCGCGGAGCGATGCAGAGCGAGTTAGCGCGAGGAAGCGACATGGGAGGGAAGGAGGGAAAACGACAGTCAAAAGCAATAACGTTTACAAGTGTTCAACGTGGCCACCGTTGTTCTCAATGCACTTTCTACATCTAGCCAACTATTATTATACTATTGCCATAGTGTTTATTCACTTGATACGCGTCGTTGCAGACGGGATTTCGTGGGTTTAACCAAAATTCTGATCAAGTGTCAGCCACACATCGCCGCCTGAGATCGCTCCGTGTGCACCGCCGGCCGGTTGGGTTGCCTACCTACAGGCGCGAAATTCCAGAAGGTAAATTTGGCTCTGGCACCCTTATTTTAGATTTCCGACCCCAAGTGTCCTATATCAAAATACTCCCCTAGGCACCCCCTATACGCTCCCAAACGGTGGCAGGTACTATAGGAATCACCCTGTATACCACGGTAGAGAAGTCTTGCTTTCGCACCTTACACCCCTCGGCGCAAGCGCCTCGAGATGTAATCTTGGTGCTCAGGCAATAATACTGTACTTCTCTACCTTGATATATAATGTACTATTTTATAGTGTTCCGTTCATTGAATATTTGGATAGATATCTCTTGGATGTAGGTACATATCCTTTTCATTTTTTCATTTTAGGAGGGTAAGAAAAGAGCATCAGTGCACACTTACTTTAAGCTATTTTGGATATCTTGCTCTGGAAAAGATTCGTTACAACAAATGGCAGTGTATACCTCCGTGCAATTATTTGTGGATGGTTCGTTACCTTTAGATGCACAATAAAATGGCACCTTTACGAAAATGCCATGAATTTCAAAAGCCTCAGGTGCAAATTTCCCTTTAGTCTCCGACACTATCAACAAGTAAAGGCTATCGATGCGAAGATAAGCTTACCTTGCGGAAGATTTGTCCCTTTTTCAAACGGTCGTCGGCGTTACTATGTAGGATTATCTGTATCATCCTTTTTAATCCGCCTCTTCATAGGCGCGAAAGGGTACATTTTGTATTCCAAACAACAACTATAGTGTCTCATTTCGACACCAATTTCTATTATTTCACATCATTATCCAAAGGGTCACTGACGGCTACCTACTGGACATCGTTAGTAACATCCTATGCGATGTCGCCAGAAACGTTATACCTTCATCCGGTCAAAATCAATTAGTTAATACTTATGTAAATAAGATTGCCGCCTTTTATAGTTTCCCTACACTTGTTTTTACTTTCTTTTACGCTATTATGCACAGAATATGGAAGCGCGCTTCAATGAGCATTTAATGAAACAATCACACGAGTACCAACAAATGAAGCGAAGAATAATGGGTGGTACGGGTCCTTCGGAAATCGGGGTCGCAAGCCACTTCTCAGCGTTTTTTATCAAAAATTTTAAACGGTTTTGACCTGAGAATCGAAAGGAAAACTAAGTGGAGCAACGTTCACTTGTCTTCTTCTCATTTTACACAACACCTCCTTCTTCCTGTGCTTTGAAAGAAATACGTTACGGCCTTTTTGAGAGTGACAGTATTCTAATTTCATCCCATAGATATCTAACGACTTTTATCTGTACGTTTTTTTTCAAATCTCGATTTTCAAAGTTTGTATGCGAACGCGGCATAATAAAAGCTTTTGTATGTAGTGCATTTTAAAGCAATTTGGCCATATTAAAGGCAATTTATTTGAAATTTATTGCGAAAAGGGAGCAGCTGTTTTAAATCATATATCACTTCACCTAAACGACGAAAAATCTTTAACTAATTGTAGAGAACCCGACCTTTTATCCATTCACCCAATTCTCTAAGAACCATTGGTGTCTTCAATGAGTTGCCCTTTTTGTCACGTACTCATGCAACCGTAAAGAAATTCAAATAAACTATCCATAGGCGTTACGTAAATCGTTCAGGAAGTGCACACGTTTCGGCCCATTGCACATGCAAAATTGATGCATTAACTACCGAAGTCATTAATTTACAATGTACCCTACTCGAGGTGTTAAATTACCGTAAGAAATTTTTAAGAAAAAATTAATAATCGAGGGGATACGCCAGTGATGCTAAAATCTAGTGGCTAATAAGCTTCAGGGCGAACACTCAACAGGTCCTTGGAAGGGATTTTAAAGGTGGGGGTTGTAGATATCAATTTGAGCATCTTGAAAGCTTCCACTAAACGTCTAAACTTTAAAAGTTTGCTACCGTAAGGAAGAGGTAAAGTTAAGTTTGATTGATTGTGCGATGAAGAACGATTACAAAAAGAACACCCACGTTTCGGAAAGCAGAAAGGTACATTTTTTTATTAACTTTAGTTGCAATTACTAAACAAATTGTCCCTACGTCTGTCGTCACTTTTTCTGACCGCTTCTTTAAGATGAAGTTTGGCGTGCGGTTACTACAATAAAAATGATGGATAACGTCCGCTAAAAGAATTATCTATACATATAAACATCCTAGTTTGTAGATGTTTACATAAACTGGCAACTTTTGTAAATTTCTTGAAATGTGCACAACTTCTTTATTTAACAAATGTAAATAAGGGGGGGGTGCATAAACATCGGTAGAGTAAACAAAGCAAGGGTGATTTACGGGCGTAGTTGGTTGTTTGTAGATTATAGGGTAACATATTGTGGGATGTCAGAAGACGACCAACGGACCAACAATTACATCCCCCTTAAATTACTGTTGGGAAACTTTGTCTTTTGATTTGAACTACTGCAACTTTATAAGGGTGTTAACTGAACTTGGGTTTCGCCCGTCTGTTATTAGCTATGTATCCTTTCGGGAAAAGTAACCACCCACCTGCAATTACTTTCGCATAAAGAGATGTTAGGTGCCTATACGATTTTATTGCCGAAAGAGATTTGGTGCTCCGTTATTATTTACAGGGCGGAATTTTTTGCCCTCTTTTTCTAGATTTTGATAGACAGGGAACTTGAATCTTAATTAAAACATTAATCCAAATAAAGTTTCACGTGGGCGTTAGCTTAAATTTATCAATGGTGTTATTAATATTTGTTTTATTTAGGTTACGTTATTTACTAAATGCAAAAATAGTGGAAATTCTATTATTGAAACAAAAATAAAATTTAAAATAAAACCAATGCAAAGATGCAAAGATTTTCAGTTGATCAATTAATTATTAGCATCTTGTAGATGCAAAACACACCTTTTTTAAAAACTACAATTATGATTAAAACCCTTGCAATCGTATACAGGGTGTTCATTTTATTTTGTCAACTATTGTGATCTCGAGAACTATACGACCCGAGTTAATTAACCAACAATTTCTACAAGACTACTTTATTGAGCACGAAAAAGAATTTTTTTCAACCAGTGGTTCACAAACTGTGGATACCAACTTTGTTATTTTAAACGGAACTGTATTTTTTATAGGTATCCTTATTCGATAGAGAATTTTATTCTGAAGTTCTGTGATATAATATTTTTATACCCTCTTAGATACCAATGCGTCTCTCTATGTAAGTATTATGAGGTAGTTGTCTGCATAGTGGTGAGTTTTTATTCTCTTGTGCCGAGACACATCCTGGGTTCTAAAGTGCTAATCTGGTCTGAAGGTTCCCTCTTCTTTTGTTTCGGCTTGGGAGCAACAACAGAGTTATCGAGCTACTCAATGCACCCAGCGCCCCTGCCGCGAAGTTTATCATTAGTAAAAGTTGTTATTAGAACTCTACAGTAGCAATAACAAACGAGACTCCTAAAGTCTATGTTCGCCCAAATACAAATATGTGAACTTTAACGGAAGGTGGGCAAATCGACCATTCATGATCGGTTTTACGTGTGTCAATTAAACTTATCTGATACATATATTTGTCTCCATGAAAACTAGACAAAGTTAACGGTAACATGAAAACCGGCCATGGCCCAATAAATACAGAGAGAATATAGAGCTCCTCTAGTCGCGAACACACCCTTCCACCGTGATTGTGGTAACTGCTAATTATGGTATCGTGTATGTATAACAATTTTTTTGTACTCCGTGGACTAAATCAACGTGTTTTGTCATTCATTTAAGGGACTAAAATGCAATTTTTTTCCCGGAGGGAGAAAAACGCGACGCGGGACTAAAAGTGACAGTACACACTGAATTGTCAAACACAATTTAATGATTAACGGTTACCTGTATTGTACATATTTATTCTTGCACCATATTTTACACTTATATTATACCGTTTTCCATATATCTTTTTGAATTTGGAAGGCAGTAGGTTTGCTTATAGCTTGTTCTTCAGAGTTTTAAATGATCATTTGTACGCCGTAGTTTTAAACTAGAATTTTAAATCAAACTGACATTTATCGTTATACGGTCACAATTTGACATTACCAGGTATATTTGATCCTACAATCAATCAAATTTTTTCTTTCAAATTTGCACTTTAACATTGAAATTGCCGTAGCTGATTACCGGAGTACAAAAAATAGGGTATATACCACAGGACTAAAGTGCCTCCTAATCCCTCGGGTGCTGCACCCTCGGGATTAAAACACACACTTTAGTCCCTCACGGCCGGTTGCAAGACGGTTGGAATATACATGAATTAGGAAATCCGGAGTTACATATAAGCCCCAGAACAAAAAACTTAGAAGGGAAACGTAAACGGGAACAACTGAGTACAAATATAATTAGTTTGGAGAACATTCAATAGATGGCGCATAGTTAGCGTTCGTGTTAAAGTTACTAAATCTAGTGACTTTAGTGCGTGTGCGCCATTATGACAGTTGAATTTTGAATTTTGATTGACGGCTTATTGTGCTTTAAGTATAATTACTATTCATTATTTACAATGAATTATGCATATACAAGTCGAGAACGTAAATGTTGTGTGACAAATTGTGAAGACGTTTCCCAAAAATGGAGCCCGAAGTTTTTAAGAATTGGTTTAGAATATAATGTGGAAGAAATTTACACAACAGTTTTTGGTTTGTGAACGTCATTTTTCTGGCTGCCCTTTAGAACCTGGAACACGAAGAGATTTAAAGCGTGTGGCAGTTCGCACATTATATTTAGCAGGTAACACTAATTGAATTGTAATAAATTGCTACATGTTTTGTTTTTAGAGCGATCTCGAGAGCATCATACAGTAGAGTTCCATGAAGTTGATCTTGTATCTTGTATAATCATATTAAATTAAATATAACTCCTTGATTGGATTAATTGGAGTTGTTACTTATAAAACAAGTACCCTGTACTCTTTGAAGGCCCTGACTGGTGAGGTGCATCCGCATTAAACTGAATTCATTTGGATCCCTAACAAACACAATTGGACTTCACTGGCTGGATTCATTTACCTTTTAGGTTTCAGCTAGTCAAATCCAATGTTATTGTTACAGATCCGGAGAAATTAGTATAATGCGGACGTAGCTTACATTTTAATATTTAAATTTGGCGCCATTCACGCAAAAGCTGCTGAGAACATACACGAGATGGCGCGTCATTTTTACATTACATTACAGTTTCCATTCTAAGTTTGTTGTTCTATGATATAAGCCGAGATTAGTCCACGATCGGGTTTCTCGTACTTAATCGAATCTTAGATTTTGAAATTCTAGAATTATTATAATCTAACGCCAGGTCGTTGTGAATTCACCCCTATTTTGACACAGCACTAATTTGACGTTTGTGAGGTGATAGCGTAGTGTTAAATCTTTGATCACGGTTACGGATCACATCAACAAAAATGAGGAAGGAGAAGTGCAAAAATTGCACAGAGGTAGAGAAAGAGTTTCTATTAGAAACGATCAACAGGTTAGTAAGTATAATTAGTATAGATAGGTATTGTAATTTTATTGTATAATTTCTGTATAACTGATGATAAAAAAATAATATACCTATACAGTTCAGTTTTTCAACAATAGTAGAAAGTAAGGTAACAAATGGACCATCGTGCGAGAAAAAAAATGATACTTGGAGAACATAGATATATAAATACATAGATACAGCCATACCCCAACATAGTTCAAAAGGACGTACCATCTATTACCATCACTTTCGGCACATTAATTACGTATAGCGCTATCCTTTATAGAGGTACCCTGAGCATGGAAGACAAGATTCGCATTATTTATTATAACTGTCAATCAAATTGTTAGCACAAATCACACAGAAAATTATCAGATTTGAGACTTTACAACATAAATAAACCGCCTTTTTATTTATTTAAATCGCATAGCAGCAAGAAATGTTACATTTAAAATGGAAGATGTTACTTATAAAGCTGGCAAATGAAGAATTTGAAAAAATTACAGCTGACAACTGGAAGAAAGTGTGTGAACATGTGGAAAGTGATTAATTTAAAAGAGAAGTTATATTTGGTTGATGTTGCTGAACTTTATAATACCTAAGTGTTAATAATGACAGTGATGATAAATTTCATCTGACGATGATTCGGATTGTGAGCTTTTACAAACGTAATGAATGTTCACTAAATGAGTATTATCACCAATTGGATATCATTGTTAAGGTGTTGTATTTATTTTAAATAAATGTACACGTGTAGCTTACTTACTACAATTAGCACTATAATTTCAAAAAGAAACCCCACCGAATGGACATATGCCGAAAGGTAGGCAAGACGCGTAGCGACCAAAATTTGATATTGCACGCACACACAGTCTAAAAACTCGTTTTCCTAAGAATATTGGACGGATCCTTCTTTGTGATCATGATACAAACGCACTGCATCAACATCATATAGGCCAAAATAATAATTGGAAACGAATTCACTTCCTGTCGCAACAATTTCCTTTACCATTACGCCTAAAACCATGCAATTAAAATTAAAATGTTGAACATAAACTTTACTTACTTACGGTTTTTTTGATATTCTGCAAGCCAGCAATGAATTCAATGCAGCACATCATGCCAAACAGGGTAAACATTATCCCAAATTTGAATGGCGTAGTTCGATGTAATAAAACTATTTCAGGAATAACAATTATGGACGCGTCTATCATTATGGCAAGCACTAATGTTATTCGTATTCAATTGATAACGCAATAATTACATAATATTTAGTGAAAAAACCGCCCATCATGTTTAGGGCGAATATTTTTAGTTAGATTGGATTTCGCGCTATCGTGAAATGGGTCAACTGTCACATGACTTATGGGACGCGCTAAGTTTGTTTCAAGCGTCCGATTCGCGTACGACATAGTGGTTAATGCAATAAAAAGAGATAGAACATGTTTCATCTTGGTTAGAAAGTAATGGAGAGATGTACAAATTTCTTTGATATGTTTTTTAAAAACCGAGGTACGTTTGTTAAGGATGGCTGTATCTAGGTATTTATATATCTATGTTGGAGAAAAATTGCTAACGCCCTCTCAAGTCTGCATCGAAACCCAATACTCATTTTCAAATTCTCCCCAACAAGGTCCAACATTTTCCGTACCGGGTCTTTGAAAATCGGAAGCGCTGTTTGAAATCGAGATCATCATAATTTTCCATTGGATTTGCCCTGTCTCTAAAAAGTCTTGGCCTAGGCAAAACCAATTCATCCTTGTCGCTTTCCAGATTTGATAATGATGTACCTATCTGACATTGCTACGTTCTGTCTAGGGAATGCAATACCGGGATCGCGGGATCTCGAAATACCGGGATCCCGCAGCATTTTTGCGGGATTAATCCCGTACAGAAATTAAGCGGGATCCCGCGGGATTTGCGGAATTGCAAAATTTACGACGTTGTTTAAAATTTATTAATAAAACGCGTAACGGAGAAGTGCAGATACGTACAGGTCCTCCGTAAATCAATATCTCGAAAACCGCCATTTTGAAAATTTTTTTCTACGTCCATTTAATTTATACGATCGAATCTTGCAACTTTTATTTGAAACTTTCTTCGATAGCTCTCTTTGTTACTAAAATATTGACCTTTTTAAAAATGTCGATTTTCACTTTTTTTCCAATTATCTACGAAACGAACTATATTTTCAAAATATCGCGTCGAAATATCCACCAGCATCAAAAACTACACAACTTTGCCAATTTAACCGAATCTGTAAGTATAACAATAACAGAGATAACAGTCCTACTCAATTTAAAACACCCTGTATACTCATCGATGGTTTATAAAAACTTTAGTATTAGCATAGTATAATACAAAATGGTATTAGTATGGCTGTATTAATTGTAGTGAATATTCTAGAAATCCAGATAAACGTGGAGGCCGAAAGCGGATGTGACGCATCCTTTCCGTGAAATACGATATGTTTTGTTGGAGAATATTCGGTTAATCCGCACAAAATTGCATATTTCCCAATACATTTAAAATTTTGCGGGATCCCGCGGAATTAACATAAACGATCCCGCAAATACCGGGATCAAAATTTTGCCGCGGGATTGCATTCCCTAGTTCTATCGTTATAATTCCAGTTTAATTCTCCGATTTGACGAATTAGAATAATTTTGATTTAATCAATGACAAATGTAGGATTACAGATTCATGCAACCCAAAACCAACGTAATCAGGGATTATAGTAGGAATAAACTTAGATTAGAATAATCAAGATTAGTTTAATCCAATACTTGATCATGCAACCAAAATTTTTGTTTAATCTCGGATTTGGCAAATAATCTTGGATTTCGATTATAATTCGCTTTCTTGCAACCGGCCGTCAGTATATAATACACTATTAGCAAAGAGGGTACTCTGCTATTAGGTAACGGTTTGCGTGAAACAGCCATCCGTGACAACTATATTTCAAGTAACATTTGTGACGAAGTATTGCATGACATTTAAACGGTACCTACTTATATACCATAAAAAACGTCGGCATCCCTACAACATTGGTGACTGGCGAATTAGTTACCCATGCCCGTTTTAACAATCCAAAATAAAAAATACAAATAAATACAGGTTTTAATTGCAGATCTATATTTCAACAAACATCCAATATCACAAAGTGGTAAATTTATAAGATTGTGATTATTAATTAATCTTCGTAATACAACACGATTATATGTGTGATTGCATAGGTATCTTTACACAAATATATTATTTAGTGAGATGAATACGAGTGCACTACAAGTTCTATTAAAAAAACTGCTCCAGACAGGATGATGCCTATTCCAAGCAAGACAAACGTGAAAGAAAGATGGCCTAATGTTAAGACCACTGCTGCTGGTGGCTCAATATTGAAAATATCTCGTTCGTTCGTAAAATTAGTTTCATAATCACTCAATTGCTTGCGCCCAATTCCAGAATCTCTCATCAAATCTAGAAAGTGATTTACGTACGGGAAAAAATGATGCTGGGGGTAATAGTGTAGCGCGTATTCAATTCTTCCTGTTACACTACTGTCGGTAATTAGGTGTACATTCAATTTTTTCTTCATCAGGAATTGACATTGCAAGAATTCTTCATGTACCATTATTACAGCACGGTCACCGTGTTCATGTATATTTTCCAAAACTTTAATGTAGCCGCCATGGATTGGAACCAAAGACCTTTGTAATTGTTTATAAAGATTACACTTAGAACGATTAGGGTTGAAATATGCATTCATAAAGCTTAAATCCATGTATATAGGTAACTTCGCATCTGCCAATTCTTGTAAGGTATTAATTTGATGTTGGTATCGTGGAACGGTCAGTATGTTAATCAAATTTGCTGTAAAACCGCAATTAATATGAATAATGTAAATAACGTATGATAAAAAAATGCAACGTAAGGTAAACCCTCCTGGTACGTTTGCAACCAGCGCAAATATCGTAAGCGAGATGACATCAGTTGCCGCCATTGTCAAGTTTTCGAAGTTCAAGTTGCGTTTATTCCATGACAGTATACACCACCAGACAATCGTGGTCACGAGAATTGCCACCATGATCATAAACCACAGAACCGATCGAAAAGTCAGAAATATTTTAAGCATTGCGGGAACGGCTCCAGATTTTGGCACTATCCAAATTATTTCGCAACTGTAAGTGGCATGAGATAAGCCATAACGATTTAAGATTAGGGCATTTGAAGGTTGCAACATAATCTGGTGAGTCATCATGTGGTTAAACCTTTCTTCCAAATTTCTATATGGTACTGTGACAAACGTTCCATTATGACGGTGTGCTAATAGTTTAACAAGAAAAAATTCGTATTGCGCACCAGGATAGAACAGTCCGCGACCGGGTTGCCGTACTAGTAATGTTACTGGACACCTGTTAAGGTTTAGTGCAGTGATTGGACCAATTATTGTAATCGGTTCGTTGCAATCTTGAGACTTGAAATAAGTTGCCATTTTCCCACAATTATTCGCTGGGTCATACCAATCTGCTGCGTACAACATTTCCTCTGGTCCACTGTTAATTACTGCTACATTGTATACACCATTTACCCAAAGTGCGCCGTATAACGAATCTATATTTAAATCTATTTCACCCGTTATGAGTAATAGGCGAATAATTCCAAGCCCTCTTCTTTGAAAATCTCGTATCTTGGCCATGGAGTTCATTGACAAAGAAAGCTCCTTACCACCTTTTCCGCATAGCACAAAATCATCACCATAAGAAAAAAATGAAGTTCGATTGAACTTCTCATTAACGTTTAATATTGTGTGTGGAATTACTACTTCCTCGTGAAATAAACTGCTTATGCACAGCTGACTACCGTCCGTTATCACATTTAAGAACGTAGATTCGACAAACATTTTTTGTATCACTCGATGAGTGCAAACATGCGCCGAAGAATTAGCGTTGAATTGCAAAAACGGCGAACCGACCACCACATACACGAAGAAACTCCCGAAATAGAAACTCTCCATTGACATATACTTCTAAATCGACGTCGAACTGGAAACTACGTTTTATATTAAAATACGGCGCACACCAATCACAAATCATATATTATTCAAAAAGCACAACTGAATAAGTTACTAATAACAAGGCAGGTTGGTAATGCGACCCAAGCAAATAATGTTTGTACCACAATTCATTCTCGGGGAAAATTACAGGTCACCCTCGTGTAAAAACGCTGTAAACGGTTTGCTATCGATCTTCAGAACGCGACACAGACTCTTTTGTACTCCGTGGACTAAATCAACGTGTTTTGTCATTTATTTAAGGGACTAAAAGTGCAATTTTTTCTCCCGGAGGGAGAAATACGCGACGCGGGACAAAAAGTGACAGTACACACCGAATTGTCAAACACAATTTAATGATTAATGGTTACCTGTATTGTACATATTTATTCTTGCACCATATTTTACACTTATTATACCGTTTTCCATACACCTTTTTGAATTTGGAAGGCAGTAGGTTTCCTTATAGCTTGTTCTTCAGAGTTTTAAACGATCATTTGTACGCCGTAGTTTTAAACTAGAATCTTTAAATTAAACTGACATTTATAGTTATACGGTCACAATTTGACATTACCAGGTACATTGATCCTACAATCAATCAAACATTGAAATTGCCGTAGCTGATTACCGGAGTACAAGAAATAGCGTATATACCACAGGACTAAAGTGCGTCCTAATCCCTCGGGTGCTTGTTGCCATCAACTACGTTTCGGGCAACAATCTACACCCTCGGGATTAAAACACACACTTTAGCCCCTCAGTATATAATATACTATTATTAAAAAATTATATCGTCACTCAATTTGAAAGACCGAAAAGAATTGTTTATTCTGAGTTTTAATACTTCAGCAGCCCAGAAAGAAATGAATGAATAATTTCTTCCGACGGGTCCCTCTTCATTCCTTTGTGATTAATTACGCCTACAAAATGGCGTATAGTAACTAAAAAGAGCCAGCTTTAATTTTTAAATTCATTCGTTTTCTTCGATTCTGCCCTACGAATCAAATCAGAGTTAGGGTAATAAATCAATTCCTAAGTATGTGCAAAATATGCCACATTGCATTTTCCACGCTACCGTGTATTTAGCAGTTTTAATCAAGTCCTAATCTGATCCGAACCCCGGACAGGAATTTTCGGGATCTAATTAAGAGAACTTCATACATTTTAATTATGCATAGAAAAACGATCGTGAATTTCACCAAAACACTTTTCACATTTTCACTAATTATTTGAGAATTCAACCCTCTAAATTTGATTTAGTTTATTTCCTAATGGTATTATTTATGAAAAAGTATCAATTATCAATTGTAGTTTCTAACGGGTGCATTTTTGCAGATCCGTAAACCACTGATGGAGAAGAAACGTCGCGCCAGGATCAACGACAGTTTGGAAACGCTGAAACAAATTCTGCTCGATTCGAAGACAACGCTTAAGGAATCGACGCCAAAACGAAACGGTCAAAGAACGACGAAACTCGAAAAGGCCGACATCCTGGAAATGACAGTCCGTTATCTGCAGCATTTACACAACAAATTAGGACAAATTCAGGGAACGCGTCCCGTCAAAACGAACGAAATCCTTATACGTCCTGCCGATAGTTCGTCCGATAGTGGACTGAAAGTCGGAGTAACTTTAATCCCGACGAGATTGGAGAATGGGGATTTGGCATTTGTCGTGCCTTCTAGTTTGCAAAATGTAGCTCCCGAAAGTGAAGGACAATTTCAAGATGATTATAGTGAGAATAACGGTGATGGAGTTTGGCGCCCTTGGTAGTATAGTATTTTAGATAGGTACATAAATTACGGTTTAGTAACTAAAGACTGTGATATTATAAATAGGTGTTATTAATAAATCTTGAAAAGTTGTGTTAGTTTTACTTACTAGGTCGAAAGGTTTAGAGCAAAACGTACCTACCCAAAATTATTCTTTACACATGAATTTGTAGTTGTAAAAGCTTTCAAACGCATTAAACACATTCTCCTGATGCCGAAAGAGTACGTCACTGCACATTTGATAACCAGGTGTGTTTGATTCTTTTTCTGAGGCTACATGTATTTTGATCAAATCATGTCAATGTCGTTATGCATCAAGATCGTTGGGAAAAAGACCAAAAGCATTATCTCAATGACGAAGACATTGGAATTTGATATGGGTCGAAGTTGCAAGGTTAAAATCACAAAAGTTATGGTAATACTGAAGATCCTTCGATATTCTGTTGTACCGGTTTATTTGATTAACAATCCATTTCCGCGAAGGGAGTAGCGCATACAGTTCAGATTCTTCGCTGGGACCGAGACCATGAATTTTCTTTGAATGATGTTTTTATGTACCATGCAATTTATCATTTTACGGGTTGTTTTGCCTAAATTTCTTATACCAGTTATATCCTTAAGAATAAGAATAAGAAGATTGGGCTACAAGTTCAAAAGTTACAGCCCTTTGAATTTTTTTTCGACATTGGTTTCTAGTCTATAACTTTTTATTGAGAAGTCTGATCGAAAAAGAACGAATTGTTTTGAATTCTACGCACCAAAATTAATAAGAAAAAGTGTTTTCCCGAGAAATTTTGGTGCAGTCGATTTTTGGTAAAAAAGGAAGGTTATACACTGCCTTTTTTTGAGGCGCGAAAAAAAAATTGTTTCAGATCGACCCGGAAACAAAATTTTCTTATAGAATGTGGCCTGTAGAATCCATAATTTCAAACAGTTCCAAGATTGGACTACTAGTTCAAAAGTTACAACCCTTTGAATTTTTTTTTACATTGGTTTCTAGTCCATAACTTTTGATTGAGAAGTCTGATCGAAAAAGTACGAATAGTTTTGGATTCTACGCACCAAAATTAATAAGAAACGGTGTTTTCCCGAGAAATGTTGGTGCAGTCGATTTTTGGCAAAAAAGGAAGGTTATACACTGCCTTTTTTGAGGCCTGAGAAAAAAATTGTCTCAGATCGACCCGGAAAAAAAATTTTCTTATAGATTGTGGCCTGTAGAATCCATAATTTCAAACAGTTCCAAGATTGGACTACTAGTTAAGTAGTAATAATTTGGCGTCCGATGTAGGTAGTCTAATAAATAATTTGAAAGGAGGAATAATAAATTGACGATTCAATTAAGGTTTTATCTAAAGTAAATGAAAAGTTAGCAATTAACGCATTTTCAAACGGATTAAAAGATCCTAATTTAAAAACTATTATTAAGGCTAGAAGTTACGAAACTTTAAAAGATGCAATTAGCGGGGCGAAAGATGAGGAATTGAACGACAAAGACGTAAACGCACATGCGACCTCATATCAAATAAGAGGTCATATTACCGAGGGCGTCAATACAACGGTAGATACAATGCAAAATCAGGGGTGGTGAACTGGTGAGGCATCAATATATGAGATTGCAATGCATTAGATATGGGGTCAATTATTACAGTCCTCGCTTTTTAAACAAATTACCTAGCGACGTAGTAAGGCTACCATCCAAAATTTTCAAAAATAAAATTAAATCATTAAAAAAAAACAAAGTTTTTACGACATTAACGAATTTTTGAATTGTCAATAATGGTCTTCATCCGATTTCAATGTAAGTTAGTCATTAAATGTATTTGTCCCTTGTTTTTTATCTTTTCCTAAATTGACGTTTGTAAACAAAATTTTTTTTGTCTTAACAACAATAAAGATTATTATTATTATTATTAATAAATGCGGTAGGGAAAAATAAAAACTCATTCGACAACCAGCAAAAATCTTTTAGTAATTATAATCCCAGTTGTTATCGGAATCATCAATTTCGAGGTTACCAGGGAAGAAGTAGAGGTACTTTTTTCAATAAATATAGACAAAATTACAGGGGCGCAACACGGCAAAATTTTTACGTTAACGAAGGAAATGATTACGGGGCGCAATCTAAAGAATTTTTTAGAGACCCCCAGTAAAATTTCAAAAGAGAAAACTTTTAGTATGAACGGATTAAATTGTATAAATATTAACTTAGGAACAGAAGAATTAAAACCTTTGTTAGATAGTGGGTCCTCCTAGGGATCCTCAATCAGCATTATTTTTATTTGTAGTTTAAGTAATAATTTAAGGCAAAATATAAATACCCATAAGAGGATTAGAATATAAGGATTAAACGGTTCAGTATATTCATTAGGTTCATTAAAAATGCACTTCACAATAAAAAATATCGTGATTCATCGTGCATTTTTGGTCGTGAATGATTTTTCAAAGGAAATGCAAGGAATATTAGGTCAAGATTTTTTTGGTAAATACTTGGCGATTCTGGATTATGAAAAATTTTAAGCGTCCTTTCAACTAAATAATGAAAGAATAATTGTAACATTAATATCAAAATTCGAAATTTATACTCAAATATCGGCTCGATGTGAAGTAATTAAGTATTTTCGTTGTAACATGAAAGAGGAATGTGTAATAGAATCTGAACAAATTTCAGAAGGAGTGTTCGTAGGAGGCACAATAGCTAAGCCTAATAGTGATAATTTAGTACCAGTTAGAATTTTAAACACTAATGATAGGGATATTTCAATTAAGAATTTTAAACCAAAATTTGAAGAATTTTCTGACTATGAATTTCATAAATTAAGTAAACCAAAAATATCAGTCGAACGAGCTGAGAAATTATTGAAATTATTAAACGTAAGTTCATTAAACGAGCAAGAAAAATTAAACCTACATAAAATATGTCCTAAGTTTGCAGACGTATTTTATATGGAAAATGACCCATTAACCGTAACAAACGTGTGTAAGCAAAACATTCAAGTGAAGCCAAATGCAACTCAAGCATATATATTTAACCATACAGAATACCTTATGCCCGAAAAGACGAACTAAATCAGCAAATTGATAATATGCTCCAAAATAATATAATAGAACCCACAAAATCTGATTGGTCCGCTCCAATCTTAATTGTTCCAAAGAATTTATACGTACCTAATAACAAAACAAACAAATATTTGCGGGTCATTGAAAATTAGAAACGTCAATTATTAATTGTCAATACCTACTCGGGCCTATTGGCCCTCGAGCTTTTTAACTCGTAGCCCTCGAAAATATAAACATCACTATTATGCCCTTAATACATAATTACCTTGTATACCTTGTATAGACGAAATTTTAGACGCATTGTCAGGCGCAATTTATTTTTCATACTTAGATTTATATCAAGGCTATTACCAATTAGAATTAGAAAAATCCTCTAGAAAATGCACAGCTTTTACAACGCCTAAAGGTCACTTTCAAATGACTAGAGCACCCATGGGTTGAACAACTAGTCCAAGTCCTTTTTCACGTGCAATGACACTTGCAATGTCCGGATTAAATTATGATATACCTATTTGTTTTATTTATCTCGATGATAATTGTTTTTGGAAACAGTCTTCAAGATCATAATCGAAATTTAATTATAGTATTACATAGGCTCCGAAAAGTTGAATTAAAATTAAACCCAAATAAATGCGAATTTCTAAAAAAGTATATTTTGTATTTAGGACATGTAATTTCTGCAGAAGGCACTTTACCAGACCCAGAGAAAATTAAAGCTATGCGTAGCTACCCTGTTCCAACAAATGGGGCAGAAGTTAAGAGGTATGTGGCATTTGCAAATTACTACAGAAAATTTATACCACATTTTTCGGAAATAGCGTCACCATTAAATCATTTAACGAAAAAAGGTGTCAATTGGACACAAGAATGTCAATTAGCTTTCGAAAAATTAAAAGATTGCTTAATAAATCCACCATTTTTAGAGTATCCAAATTTTTCATTACAAAACAAATTTATTATTAAAACTGACGCATCGAATGTAGCGTTAGGTGCAGTTTGTGTAATAACTAAAACGATAAACCAATTGCATATGCAAGTCGAACATTAAATAACGCAGAGAAAAATTACTGTACAATCGTTGAGTGAATACTGAATACTCAATGGCACAATACAAAAAGAGTTGTTGGCGATAGTTTTTGCAGTGAAAAAATTTAGACCTTATTTATTCGGCAGAAAATTTTCAATTTTTACTGACCATAAGCCACTTAAATATTTAATTGGTATGCATAATCCATCTAATAGGCTCACAAAATTTAGACTAGTACTTGAAGAATACGATTTCACAGTTAATTACGTAAGAGGAAAGGATAACGTTTTAGCAGACGCATTGTCGCGTATTGTAACTGACTCAGAGGAATTAAAAAATATGTCTCAAATAAATAATAAAGCGTTTGTTGTTACTAGAGCGCAAACTAAACATAGAAAGGAGGACAACCCCGAAAAAACTTTAGCTATCGATGAGGAAGGATTTGATCACCCCGGAATCGTCGAATTAGTTAAAATACCGGAAAAAGCAGTAGAGTTAATTGTTGTTACAGGAAATGAAATGTTCTTTAACCTAGCAAAACAATGTAATAGAAAATGTCATGACAGTAAATTTTATAAGATGAATAATCTAGTATACCTATACCGTATACGATAAGCAGGCTAATGTTATATAGGTACGTAAATCAGAAGACTCGATCAGCGATATTATCCCTAGGGAAATCGTTGTAAGATTACGGAAAAATTTGAAATACGAGAGATATTTATTATTAAAAATACGAGAGCTCGCAAGGTTGTATAAGTAAGTGAAATGACGCATCAATTATTAAAATAATTAAGGAAACAGACCTAAAAATTTGCGTAATTCAAGACGTAGAAAAAATTGATAATAAGGACGAAAGGCAATTAATTTTAAATGATTTTCACATTTTACCGACAGGGGGACACGCAGGAATAAACCGAATGGTAAATAATATAAAACGTTATTATATCTTTGGATACGATTACAAAGAGATGTTGAAAAATTTGTTAAGAAATGTGAACTTTGTCAAAAATGTAAGTACTCTATAATTAAAAAAACAGCCTTTGTGCATAACATCTACAGCTCAAGCAGCTTTCCAAAAAATTTATCTCGATCTGGTAGATCCTTTAAAACCCGACGAGAGTGAAAATCAGGGTGAAAATAAATACATATTGCGTTGTAGCTAAAACTTTCGTAGAAAATTTTATATTACGGTACAGTATCCCTGAAATGATAGCAACTGATTTAGGAAGTGAATTCATATCCACCACATTTAAAGATATTTGTAAATTACTCAAAATAGAAAATAAATAAATAAATAAATAAATAATATAAATAAATAAATAAATAAATAAATAAATAAATTTCCGGATTTGGTAGAGACAAAAGTCAGTAAAACCTTGACAAAGGTCGCGAACACAAAACGATACAATAAAATAATAGAGATCTTTATTAAAACTATATTATACACTAGCAGTATATAGTAACTGAGGAAAACCATTTTGTACAACAATGATCACATAGGAATAGGAAATTACTTTCCATTTTCAATATACTTCGAAGAGCTAAAGTGAGACCACTTAAGCGCCGATAAACCGTTCAACGCGGATTTGTGGATATACTCCTTTTGCCCGTGCTCACCGTCGATTTTCGCATACTGAGAGTCACCGTTATGGCTACGTTTTGTCGGTTTTCTCAAAGCGTTGTTGTCGGGCGATCCGTTTGGTGTATTGACGGGCGTCTCGACGGATTGCAAGCTTTGCGTTTTGTGCAGCGAGAGTCTGAGTGGCTTTTTGGGTGGCATCGGTCTCGGTTTTATGTTCTCTAGGTAAGTGGGGTGCAGGTGATGAGGTTTGTCGAAGGATTCGATGGGTTCGGATGTATAGTCGATTACTTTATCTCTGCGCGGCATGTTGGTATCACTGTCAAAATCGAGAGATTTAACACTGCGACAGTCCATGATTTTTCGATGATTGAAATGTTTGAGAGGAGTTTTATCGTTGTCGGAAATGTCGAGACGTTCAGAGCTCCGAGACTCTTTGTACTTTGAGTTTGATTGGGACCGAAAATCTAAGACGCTCGCCGATTTCCTCGCGTTGTAATGTTTCAGAAGGTGCGTGTTGTACTTCTCTGAGGCGGTGATACATTTCTGTTTGTGCTTTTCGTATACGCTATCGTATCCATTTTCTTTCGCTTTTGTAAGATCGTGCACAATCATAGATGCCTTTTTGTAATTTTGGTCCATTAGAGAACTTTTGGAAGTATACTCGATTACTTTCTGTTGCTCTTTACCTCGAGAATCTACATAGTACTCCTTCTCCTGTCCGTAATGGTAGTGAGTTTTATAAACAGAGGGATCTCCTCCATCGCGCGAGGTTTTGTTTTTCGGACTCCGATGGCGGTGACGATGAGATCTATGGCAAGAGTGATTTTCTCCATTCTGAGGGCTGGGGGCAGGAATGTGCGTGTTGGAAACATTCGACATGCTACTTTTCGACCTTATCGGAAGGGACGTATGCGATTCCTGGGTTGCTTCTAAGCCCGGTAAATTCGCAACCAAGGCAGTGACCTGGGGACCTTTTTGAAAAATTTGCAAATCGCTGTTGGCGCTAGGTGGCCTATTTTGTGGTGGAGCGCTAATGTTTATATTAGTTACATTATGGCTAGTTTTAACGGTGGAGGTCAACACTGGGCTTTTTGCAACGACATCATTATGTTCCGATTTTTTTCTGGAAAGCAGTTCAGCGACCTACAAAAATGTTAAGCGTAAAATTACGATGGGCTATTTATCATACCTGTTCCTCCAAGTAGGATATCCTGTGCGTCAAGCGGATGTTATCAGAAACCAAGTTATCTTTCACCTTTTGCGTTTCCTCCGCGCGTTCTCGCACGACCCCTAATTCGCTTCTGAGTGTCGCAACTTCGTCGGACGATGGCGACTTGTGAGCGTGGTTTTTCTTCGACGGCTCGTTCTTTCGGAGTAACACTATTTGGGCTGGATCTGGAGCGGCCGCCAATAGTCTCGTTAAATCCTCGCGAGTTTTGTTTAAAACGATCTTGCCGTTAACCTCGATTAACCTGTACAATAAAAAAAAGACTCTTAAGAGTTAGCAATTAGACACGTTTGGTATTGTAATAAGTTAAAGACATGTAACCGTTGATTAAGTCCATAAAATGTTCCAGCTATGGTTGAATAAGAGAAACAGTAGGAAGCAGGAAACACAAACAATAGAAACCCAGTCAGCTATAATGACCTTCCACCCATATATCCGGTGTACTGAAACACCTGTGGAATTACTTACGAATAGCTCCTCGTTACTTTTGTCGATTTTATGTCTCAATTTGTGAATTTAAATATTTTTTCTGGAAAAATTAACGTAAACGTAAAATTACGTACGTACACAAGAAAAGTAATTTGAGAAGCTTTCGTTACACTGTATGTTGTAAATCGACCGAAAAATGTGTTCATCGGCCTTAGATTAAGTTATTAAAGTAGTTAGCATTTTAAACTAACAGTGTTAGTAACACATACGTAGTTTTCTCCTAGTTAATTACTAAATCACGAACGGCATAGGCACAAGTTTCCCTATCATTATCAACAAAACAGCGGCAAGGCTGTAATTTTATAATAATTTAAATTTGTTTACGCAAGCATTGCAATTAAAATATCATTAACGGTTTGGTAGCTATAACATTAGTTTATTATATCTATAGTTAACTGTCAAACAGTTTAACTTTTTCCACCAAAACCTACCCCGTCGAGACCCACCACTGTCCCTTTGTGCTTATAGCGCTGCGTTTAAGGTATGAAATATTGAAATTGAGACCTACGAAGTGTGTAATAGATTTATTTGATAAGTATTTTTACAGTACAGAATGCAGAAAACCTCGATTTATCAAAACCCCAAGAGCAATTGGAGTTATAACGGGGATGGGGGTGTACTGAGGGAAAAAATATTTGCCATGTGGATTCCGTTTAAATATTGTGAACAGAGTTTGAAATAGCATAAAATTGCATCCCCAAATATTTCATAGATGGTTGTAACTGTATATTCCCGTTGGGGTTGAAATTTTTTCCGTGAAATTTTCTATTACGTAAATATGTTTTATTTTTTTTAAGTCGGAGGTTGCAGGATGTATCATGGGACGTTTCAATTGCGTGATAGGGTTAGGTATCGCTCTATAACCTGAGGTTCTGGAGAAATACGGTACGGAACTGCTGAATCATGTTCATAACGAAGTTTTGCTGATGGGTAAGGCGGGACTAGTTGGTTATAAGAAAGAGAAGATTAATTATTAATACGAACCTTCAAAGAGCGGAAATTCAACATCTATTTTGGACCGTCATAGAGCTCTGGTCTGGGTAATGCGCATTTTGAGCCTTGGTAGAGCTCAAGTTAGAAAAGTTGTAATTAAAATTAGCGTCAAACCATCCATCACTCAAAAAAATATTTGAAGGGCTGTTAATGAAATTCAAAAAATCGGGAAGGTCATTAATACGGAAGTTTGGTTACACATTGTCAAACGGTCCGGTAGTTCTAAAACGTACAATTCCATCCCCTCCGCGCCCGCTGCCATATTGAAAACACCGAAAAAAGTCGAAACTTTCTTCTGATTTTCGCTTATATCTTCTCTTCGGTGCATTTTAGCTGGAAAAGAGTTCCACTGAATGTTGTAGTTAGAGAATTAAATTTCCTATAACTTAGGTTTTTCATGTTGTTTCTAGGACTGGTAGTTAAGAAGATACGTACTTTTTAAAAAAATTGCATTTTCCGGAAATTTATCAAAGTTTCTTGTTCTTTGCTATAACGGGTGCCTAGAGAGTGAGCAAAGTTTGTGGAATTACTGTTTCAACATCATTCAAAAACATGTCAATGGGCGAGTATTCATCAGTGATATTGTACACCTAAGATCGAATGTCTTCGAAAATTAAGGCCGCTGCTGCGCTCACTACTTTTAGTCTCTCCCCATCTGCGATTAGGAGATTTCATTGTGCTGCACCAGTTGCCAGTGAGTATTTTATATCCTGCATTTTTGAAACAGGTCGTCGTTGCAACGAGGCCCAAGTCCCTAATTCATCTCCACGTTTCTGTATAGCATTAAAAAACTTATCCCTTACCAAGTTCATCTGGATAATGATTCGTTGTGTAAGAGTCTTCTTTCAAAAAATCAGCTCTTGATCATTCCTTACAAAGGCAGCAACGACTCTTGAAGCGAAATAGTAGATTACATACCGAGCTGGGAGGTGGTTCATTACCTACGCCGAGGGCTTAAGGTAGCGCGAGGCGTTGGTTATGAACCACTGACCAGCGAGGTTTGTATACTATTTTACTCACAATCGATCATTTAAGGTAAAGTATATAATTCAACAAGGTGTTACTTTAACTGTCAATAATAGTGACACCGCCAATGTAACCATTAATGTTTACAACAATAGCAAATAGTTTCGTTCTTTTTCGTAATTTGCTATTGTTGTAAACATTAATGGTTACATTGGCGGTGTCACTATTAGTATAAGTTTCATATAAGGATAATATGAATAGCATTTGCAGGTAAGGAAAGTGACAGATGCTAGCCGGGAAAGTGACAGCTAGCCGGGAAAGTGACAGCTAGCCGGGAAAGTTACTTTCCCGGCTAAGGTGAGTAATGAGTCGCTTCGCAACCGCTATGAAGGTTAGGAATTCAGATAATACTAACCGATTGTGAGTAAACATTTTTTTGTACTCATTGAATGGAAAGATAATGTTTCCAAGCATCCTCGATGCACGGGAAAACGACTTTCCCGCATCGCGGTGTTTTTTAGTTTCCGCTGGAGAGAAGGGGTTATGCGCGTTCTTCGGTTGGTAGTACTTATTGAAGTCAACGAACGTCATGTCATGATTAACTGTCATCTGCTGTAAAATCAATTAAACCGTTGGTTGAGAGTATTTAGTGCGATTAATCGGAAACAGACGTAAACTAAGTTTTACGTAAATATATAAACAAGAACTTATAACGCAATCAAATTATTTTTCAGAATTGGAACTCAAGAAAAAGTAAAATTTATTGTTAAAACGTCTTAAAATGTGACCAGTGATATTCTGCAACTATTCGCATATGCAGTTTAAGAAAGCACATATTAACACACACAAAGCTTCCAAGGATTTTAAATGTAACGAGTGTATTTACGCAACTCAAGATATTCAGTGCAAACGATGCAATGCCGTGACCAGTAGTAGCACTCATTGCAAAGGCAAAATATGTATTAACCAAAGATGTGGAAGTTTTAAATGTGAGCAGTGCATTATTAAAAGTGGGTAGTTACAAAATTATGTTACCCACCAAACATATGATTGTGTTACCAACTCATGATTAAAAAAAAGCTAATTTACAAAACTTTATTAATTTTGACCTTTTTTTACGTAATTCGTTACAAAAAATATTGTACCTAACTCTTTCGGAAAGAATTTTCCCGCATTCGCACTAAATGCAGCACTCCCTACGGTCGTGCTGCAAACAAAGTGCTCATGCGGGAAAATTAACTTACCGAACTTGTTAGGTAAATAACTATTTCACAACTGACCTGATCACAGACATTCAAGAGCTATCGGTCATTCTCCTAACCTTATAAAAATTTAAAAAATCAACCCAATTCAAGGGCTCCCGCCTCCCGTTACAGCCTTCCAACAAGATGGCGCACAATCCCATGTACGATAAGCTTTTATAATTGCAGATTTGATTGAACCCAATGAAATAGCTCTGTTCTTAACTCCGTCGGTTACAATATAGGGAGTACATTAAAACCAGGGTTCACGAAGACACTATTTTCAACATTATATCGATGGACATCGCATAGTCTTTCGTTGGAACCAATTTAACCAAGAAATTACTAACCGATCAATTGGACAGTGGCGCCGAAGACAACAAGTTGTAGTAAATAACCACAGAGGACGACGTGTCCTCTTGTCCAAATTGGACCAAACCCAAAAAAGCATAGTGACAGTATAAACCATTGCTACCAAATTCACTCTTAGTTCAAATTCCTGGTAACAACGGGCATTACTGGACTGCGGTATTTGGACATTTTGATCCGGTCATTTAATTAAATTTAATTAAATGAGTTGCACTAAACAGCCTCCGATTTCTCAAAAGAAGCCAATTACAGATTTTTCGCGCATTTCAGCAGGCCGCACAATTAATTAAAGAAGTTTTAATTTTTAGACGTCCTTATCAGAATACACTGTGCTGGCTGGGAAACCGGCGTTCCTTGCCGCTTTCTATATAAGTTAAATCCTTTTTTTGCTCTTCTTCCGGGGGGGGGGGGTATTGATTTGCTTTTCCTACATTTCATTTCCCGAACCTACCGCTAATTCAACTAATGCTTTGTTGCTTGCGTTCCCATTGGGATTTATTTGTATTTCTTTTAGTTCAATTTTAATTATGATTCCGCTGAGTATATCGTTTAATTTTCATACCATTTGTACCTATTAATTGAAGTTCGTCAAATTTTTTAATATGTCAATTAAAATGATTCTACGACTACGAACAGTCAGTATTCAATCCCTTCTTTAGGTTCACGATAGTAATAATTTACACAGCAGTTTTAACAGTTCTTTGTGATAGCAACCTATATTAGCGCGCCGACTTTAATTGTTCTTGATAAATTACAGTAGTTTTCTATCCCCCTACATCAGGGGTCGGCAACTTGCGGCTCTTTTAATATAAAGTTGCGGCTCTCCGCATTTATCTAAAAAAATTAGTTTCCTTTTTCGAAATTCGCCTTTTTATTTAATCTTGTACATTCAAAAAAATTCTGTAAATGACGTGGGTATATATTATTTTTATTATTATTTTTTTTATATACATATTTTTGTATATACTGGGGGAGCAAAGATAGTATTCGCCCTCCCTTCCTACGCCTCTGCGATATTATATTTGCACAAAAGATTTTTTAAAATACTTTTTTACCAGCTATGAACTAAGACACCGATGCACTGTTGCATGACCCTGTATATAACCATAGTATATGTGTTATATTATGATATATGTAACCAAATACTATAGTATTGAAACGAAAATTTTTTTGTGGCTCTTTCAAAACTGGGAAATCTTGTTTCAATAGTTTGCCGACACCTGCTCTACATAAACAATTATTACGCAACGTTAACTGTCTATTACGTCATTTTAATTTTCGTAATAATCCGTATTTTTGCTATGTGTATAAAACCGACACGTTATAATTTATTTACTTCAAACTTTTTGCTTTTTGAACGATAACTACCGGAACTCTCGTTGCTATATTTTACCTTCCAAACACAAATACTGGATGTGACGGTTGTCTAAAAATAACGTCTTTCCAAACGCTAATGTTTTATCACGAATCACGCAATACTATTGGCTCTACTGCGATCAGGAGGCGAATTAATTAACAACTCTAATTTGCAGACTACAATAAATCCCAAAATCTTCCTCATTTTAATTTTAATGATGCCGAAACGTTGTCCTGATCAGGGTGACCTAATGCTGAGCTAGCAGTTGTAACCCAATAGCACTAATTAAGAAGACGAAATATGGCATAAATTTGAGGGACCTTAGCTGAGGTTGTGTGTAACTTGAATTTTTGAAAAGTAGTTCAAACTCGAAATCCTGTAGCTTGTTATGTAGGGTTGGGTTTTTATCTAACGGGCGATCAAAAATGAGGAGCTGCTGAGTCGCCTTTGGAAGTTCAAGTTAAGTGCGATTTCCCATGTAAACCAAAAATCCAAAGTCAACTCATTTTTGAGCGCACAGTATAGGTATATATGCTTATTTGATCCTAATCATTGTCTTAACCATTGAATTCAAAATTTACTTCATCTGGGCCACAAATTCTGATTGGTTGTAAACTAATAACAAAGCTTCAAATGCTAATTATACATGAAATGTTCTTGACATAAAACTTCTTTGATTCAATAGATGTACATGCGAAAACGAGGATTGCAGTTGATGTTTTTATGTTAATTCAGTAACAAACAGTTCTCGTAACTTGACCTTACGTAATTAAAAAGACAATTTGGTACGTGAAATGAATCGAAATTGCGCACTTCAGAACTTAATTAACAAATTTGAGAACAACTCCAAGATTGTGTATTGAGGAAGTTAATTATAACAACGAACACAATGCCCCGTATTTTATAACATGTTGTGTTTACGCCTGTTATTAAAAATTTCACACACGCACACAGTTAGATATAAATCTAATTGCATACAGATGTACCTATGTAGGTAGGTAATAATAAATTTACTAACCTGTCGCCTTTATTCAATCCGGTGTCGTCTAAAGCCCAATCAATCCACAATCCCGAATTGGAATCTTTACTTCCAGCACCAAAACGAGGACTCTTGGGGTCGTAAACAATTTCAACGGCACAAAGAATGGAAGTACCGCAACTATTAACGCAGCTGAAAGTAAAATATCTCCTTATAAAACTGTATGTTCTCAGAAAAGAGGATTGGAAAAAACAAGTACACCAAACTCCCATAAATGTAAAATGTAAAGTTTACTGGTGTACAGAATGCTAATTGGAAAAGGCACGGATCGTATTTACCTGTACAGTGTGTCAAGTTCAGAAGAATTCTTCGCCGATTCCTCTAGGCAAATTTGTATCGCCTTAGTTTCTTCTAAAAGCGTAAGTAAGTTCAACTCCTCTCTGCCTAATTGGTATTCCAGCTCTGCTTGCTGTATTCGAACGTCGATGTTACTGAAACGGTCGAATAAGAAACAGCGTAAATTACTCACTTCAAACTTACTCAGTGATATCTAGTCTTTCGAGTGCCATTTTTAAGTTTTTTATTGCCAGTCTTTTATTATCAGTTTCTCCCCTTAGCTTGGTAAGCCGATCTTCGGCCTGCTTCCTTTCCAAATCGCAAAGTTCCCGAGTGCTGCCATTAGTTATACCGTTCGTCTTGATCAGGGAACCGAAAAATCCGGGTATGCCGAGCTGCCCCCTCAGATTTTGAATGATGTTTTCTTTATCTCGAAGGGCGTTGCGAAGGGTTTCCAACTCTTTTAACGCGAATTCTTTCGGTATCGAGCGGATGGACGAGCCCAAACTGACGCCGCTCAAGCTTCCGTTCTTCTTACGCCTCGGCGTACTTGAAAGGGATACCTCTATGCTTGCCATCTGAAAAAAAAGGGGAGAAGAATTGGTTAGTGCCTCTCGGCGGACCATTACTGCTGTAATTTAGGATATTACACGCGATGTATGATAATGATACCATTCCAAGCTCTAACTAAATTTGTTACAAATTTATGGTGATTGTTCAGAATTAAAGTTCCAGGCTTGAGTGGTTGTAAACGCAACAGTGTTCATACATGCAATAGACACAGAAATGCGCGGAATGGAAATTGTGAACCTTATTAATGGAATTCAAAATTCTGGATTATAAAGTTCACGATTTGTTAAAGAAGAGATTTCAATAATTGTCGACTATAAATTTAACAATACAAAGAAAATTCCCCTCTCGTGAATCAAGTCCATCATTTCACATGAATATGTTTGTTTTTTTCTATTAAACAACCCACCTTAACTTGACTATCAGTTAATTCTTTGATTCAAAATTCCTTTATAGCAACCGTTAACCGGTTCAGTGATATATTTCGATTCAGCGAGTGAAAGTACGACAAAAGAAAAAGACACATTCCTACACATAGTTCTTGGAGTATCTTGGAAAAAAAAATTTTTTTGCACGTCATACAACCTTTACCTGCTACCAGCTTAGATTACGTGCACACAGCCGTTCGTTAAATTAAAATATTTACTTCGTCTAAATTGTCCCCTCAGAAGACGAAGTGTTAGTAGCATACAAATTAGAGATTTTTCGCGCCCATTTTCCGCGGTAAGATCTACCAGCTTTGACGATCGCCTGGTACATGAACGCGCAGTGTTGAGACGTGATATAAAGTTGTGCTACTTCCTTACAAGCAATTGTAGCTTCTGAACTTAGGACCTAAGAGAGCCCTCGATATTCGGTAGCAGGGGAAGAATTAATATTTTAGGATTTCAGCTCCTTTAATTAATTACTAACAGATTCTAAATTAAAGCTGCAATACCATGCAGTTTATTCCATTATCGCAGACCTTTTGCGATGGGCCCAAAATTTCATGTAACAATAGAGACTACCGGGCTACCGAATCTGGTAATTTTAATCCGGCCAATTAAGTGAGAATAATTATCTGTAGTTAATTAATTCTGTTGCAGTAAACTTTGTTTGATTAGGTTGAGTTTCATTAGAAGCATGATTAATTAATATAGATTTTGAGTTATGTGCCATATGTTTAGGCCGTCCAGGAACTTGAAAATTAACTAAAGAAGTTGTAATTTTAGGACGTTATCACAATGTTGTTTTGGATTTTCTTTAGTGAAGGTCGCCAGTTGTCCGCGGGATCCGAAACCGACCGTTCTTGATGAAGAGCAAGAGTTGAAACCTCTTGGTGGCGCTCGAAATTTCCGTACCGTTCCCCCGACTACCACATCCAGGTTGCCATCACCTGCTGGTTCGAATGTAATTAAAATAAGTTGTAATTGGGATACGAGTTTCGCAAATTGATGTTTACTGTTGGCGTGCTTCAAGAGCGAAACGTTCGAGTTCAGTTAAAAGGAAGATCCCTCCAAACCACGTGTGGCGTTTTACCTCAGCAAAGAACTGGTCGAACACTGTTGGGCGTTAAGTTTTTGAGAGACGCTAAAGTGATTCTGGATCTACCTCACAACCAGTGCTATTTTTGCGACAAGCCCTGGCAACGATTTCAGTTCGTATTGGCATCTACTAAGCTGTTGGTGCGGCGAAGGTGAGTAACTTACCCTTCACCAGAGAGAAAAGGTCAACAAACCTCTTGGTACTATGTCAACTGTCTTCAAAATAGGGGGAGCCCTAACCGAATTCCCGGAACACCACATCGAGACTAACCGAAGAACCGATCGCGGTTCCACTGCATCCTTTGAGCGCCCCAAACCACAAATTCCTACAAGATGATTACAAGCTTTCAGAAAAAATTTTCGAGGAATGTGAGTTGCCATGGGCATTCCCGGTGGTCTTGGTTCCGAAGAAAGACAATATTTAAGATTATGTATAGATTTTCGGTGTTTGAACAAAATGAAAATATATGTCCGATAGGTATTCTCGCACGATTAGGGCGTTGTGTGCGGGTGCACCATCCTGTTGAAACCAACAGCTTAGTAGATTCGCATGATAGACATCCTTACCTTTGGACACAGTACATGAAAATTGAACATTTCTTAACGGTGTTTTGTAGAGCTCCTATGATCTCTCATCTACACAACAATTCCAAAGGTAACTCTTTTTTGGTCGCATAGTACCTAGTTTTTTCGGCCTTCGTTTGGATTAAGCTGAATTTTGGTATGGTGTATTGGTCCAAACAAAAGAGGACAATTTTAGAAAATCTAACGTCAAAAATGTTGAAAAATCTTGAATAACTTGATAACCTTTGATGTTGGGTATAGGGAAATGTGGTATCAAATGACGTAGATTTCGAAAAAGCAATAAAATACAGGGTGTTCTATTTAAAATAAGAAAGTTGCTATTCACATCCGGAAGAACCGGAAATGAAACGATCGTCTGATCGGTAACGGCTGAACGGTAACGGCTTGCATGAGACAGCCTGTATATACCCACTTTACAATGATAGCAATCGTTTTTTATGGCACATTTCAGTAGCATTGGAAGAAAATGCTTCGTCGTTTGCGCTTTTTTTTTAGTCTGGCGGTCGTTTATTTTTTCTTTGCTATATTAGTCGAGTCTATAATATCAGAATGTATTTTGACTTCAATCGCACGACTATTTGGGAAGTGAAGGTTAAAACATTTTTAGTGATACCCTATAACAATATGGGTGTCATATGAAAGAATTTCTGGTAGAGATTCCGAATATCCATTTCGTTAACCTCCACGAATAACCCTCTACAAATCAAGATCAAAAGTAAAAACCTCAAGTTCGATACTGAAACACCTCTTAACATTTCATTGCATTATTAATAGATGACTCTCGTCCAATCACAGATTCACCTAACTCCGATAGGCCAAAATCTCAAATGTAGATGTATCTCGAGAACGGAGTGTCGGAAGAAGATAGGTAGGGGTACCCTGCCCAGATAAAGCTGTCGGTGGGAGCCAACATTTAAAATGTAAAAAAAATGTTAAAATGCGTATACGAGAATGATGGGTGTATAAAGTTGGGCCCCCAAAGGAACATTTTGATTTTCTCGTAAACGAGAAGCACAAAAAAATTTGCGATTGGCACACAAAATGAGCACAATACTCTGCCGATGCAACAAATTGGGATGCTGACCTCTAACTCTAACTTAATCCAGCTTTTTTTAAATTTATCCAATGGTATTTTTTGAAATCCCAAACAAGAATGCACTGTGTCCGAGACAAGGAGGGCCTGCAGTATGGGCATTGTAGAAAGGGTAATGGATTTTTTCATTTTACAAACTTTTTTTTCTGACGTTAAACCGATGTCCATTAACCTAGCAGAGCAGGGTCAGCAGAACACAATCAAACATATTGCATAATTAGGTGCTAATTAAGTGCCCTATGCTCGAATTAAATGCTCCTTTTTTTTTAAATTACAATGAAAATGAAAAGTGAACTAACTATAATTAGGTGCTAATTAAGTGTCCTATTCCCGAATTAAATGCTCCTTTTTTAAAATTATGAACCTGGCAGAACATGGAATAATTAAAAAAAGGAGCATTTAATTCGGGAATATGGCACTTAATTAGCACCTAATTATAGTTAATTCACTTTTCATTTTCTTGGTTTTTTGAGGTAGTGCTCTGCTGAGTTTATAGGAACCTGGCAGAACATGTAATAGGTAATTTAAAAAAAAAGGAGCATTTAATTCGGGAATAGGGCACTTAATTAGTACATAATTATGCAATATGTTTGATTGTGTTCTGCTGACCTTGCTCTGCTAGATGACACTTGACGTAATTAAAGCCCTTTTTATGTTTACTGAAAAAAGCATGCTTTGGAAAACAAATGAATGTGGTATAATATACAGTGAGTGTTTTTTAAATGCGAACATTGGAGTTTGCATGCAATGTAATTTCCCTCTGTTCGATTTTTCAAAAAACACATCAATCTATGAGGTGTGCGCGGTTCACATTCCCACCAGCAAAACGCGCAACTTGTGTGACTATGAACAGCAGCTTTATAGTTTTGATGATGAAGAGCACTCGGTAAGATTTGTTAAAGAAGCCACGTGAGATCATAGCAGCTTTAGGATACATTTTTCTTAAACTTACGATAACTTGACCTCACAGGCCACGCACTGACACCACAACTCATTGTGAACCAACGTTCAATTATTTGTAGGTCATGTGCACCTGGTATTCTACTAATTTGATCTATTCAATACATAAATGAAGAAAATAAGAAAATAAATACCGAAAACAATTACAATAAATTTCGTAATTAAATTGGACGGCGGTATTTTTAAAAATGTGACAGCTGTCAATTGTATCTACTACTCATTTGAACTACTCAATAGAGTGATGTGTTTTTTTAAAAATCGAACATAGGGAAATTACATGGCATTCGCATTAAAAAAAAATTCACTGTATGTATATTTGAAGTGACACTACCTAACGTTGGTTTTTGCACATATTATGAGTTTAGTGTTGAACTTTTATATTCGGTACAAAGATTGTTAAACCATTTATGTACCAACATATTTTAACACCCGAACGCTACTTACAGTTACTACAAAACGATTTAGAGGATACTGCACGACGGTGCACCTGCACATAATTCGAGAGCTGGTTGGATTCAATGAGATTTCTAGAAAACTTCTTCGCGCAGGATCTGTGATAGAAATTTTCTTAATTAAGCCAGAAAAAAGGCAAAACCGCAATTAAACCATACACTGCTAAACATCGTTGAATTCAAAATAAAAAAAGGCTTTAAGGAATATCATCAGTTCCGTATTTAACAAAATGAAGTTGATGACGGTTCCGCGAACACAAAACGTCGGATTAAAAAATTAACAACGCCACCTTAAAGAGCATTAAAAGTTCAGGTGTAGAAGTTTCATTAATTTTGCTCTAAGTTAATATTAACTTCAGAAAAAAGTAGTGAGTAAAATCTAAACATATTTTAAAAATATAATAATAAACGCTATCTTTGATTGAGTAATTTTTCTCCCCTTTAACCAAATTTGTATATCTTATCGTTCCTAGAATGCCCATATTGGCCCTCCGTATCTGGAACGCAGTATATTTTTTTAAGCTAAAATAAAATAAATGATTTTAGTGATGGTCCAGCTTCGCAATATGAGATCAAAAGAATGTTATAAATTTGTGCTACTATGAAGATGATTTTCTCATGGCGAAACACCTTTTGATAGTTTGATAGTGCTGGAAGCATAATCAAACGAAATCTATTTTGTGAAAAGCAAGTTCCATCAGGAATTACCTAAGTGCGACGATATTCAAGTTTAGAAAATCATATTAAAAGGACAGAATTGCACTAAATGGACTAGATTAACGAAGATAGGGTAGGAATAGGGTAGACACAGGAACCTCAAATGGGTACAAAAATAAAGGTGGTGGTTTAGCATTTCTGGTACTTATGTTCATATAGACATAGAGGGACTATAATAAAGTATTGGAATTTTAAAATCGTGCACGTATGGTTCATGAATGAGCAATGAACTTTAGCTGCAAATGATTCTGTAAAACTGAGACAATTTTACAGTAAGTATAAATTATGGCCTAAGAAGAAAAAAAAGTTAATAAACACTGTGCAATAACTACACCGTGTAAGATGCTTAAACATGATTAATAGATTGATATGAAAGCTTCAATTATGTAAATTCAAAAATATTGCCACAGGAATATAAAGTTACCTTAGCTTCTAATGTTTCCAGTTGTGCCATCCTCGGTTGAATCACAGTTGGTTGTAAAGTGGTCTGAAATAAAAAAAGAAAGAGCACATTAACATGCCGTACATTATTTAAAGCGGCTATCATAAATTGAGTTATTATTAATTAATAAGAAATTGACTGCGTCAAGCTGAAAGTAATGGCTGCAGCTTTCATTATTGTTATCACCCCGGCAATTATGAGTTAATAAATCTTTTAGCGAGTAAAGAAATGAAATAGCTTTTGTCTATTTAACATGCGTGATGAGCATAACAAAGAAGGCCATCAGGTTTGTAGAAATTGTCAATTTAATTAGGCGGTATTTGCGCACGATTAGCTACACTTGCGTTAGTATCTTCAAAAAGAGTGCACGAAAAAATCATGTTCGTGTGGGCATTCTTAGTTATCGTGAGCTTTTGGTTTGTCCATCATCACTGGACGAGAAGAAAGTTGTATACGTTGGCGGCTAAGATTCCAGGACCCAGAGCTTATCCTCTAATTGGTAGCGCATACCTCTTCTTCTCATTTAAAGGTATTTTTCTAAACATTTTTGAATAATTGAAATCATTTCGCGTTAACGGCACATTTACGACTTATACGAGGGATATCGTGAATTACTTCACGTCTAAACCTCGTTAACCTTTTGCAAAATAAAGTAAAAATGAGTAACGGTCTAAAATACCTTGAAGTAGGTACACCTATTTAATTGTTTATGTGTTTTTTTAGTATTGTTGTTGATTTATTAATGTCAGCGTGGGACGTAATACAGATGATATGGCCAGATTTGCCTCCCCCAAAAATTCATCGCCACCTTCACTCAGTAAACATTTTCTCGCCATGTAAAAGTGTGTTGCTGTGTGTAATATTTTGCAATTGAGGAGAATTTTGTAGTTATGATTACATTATATTAGTAAACATATAATAACATTTAAATGGGTAGAGAAAAAGAACAAATACAAGTAATTATACAACGTGAACTCATTCATCCTGTCTTGAAATCTTCATTAAAACAAAGCAAGTACCTGTGAGAGTACTTTCTACGTTTATCAACCGTAATTGTTAAATAATACCTGTCTTTTATACACATGGTGCAACAGGCGAGTGTCACCAGGAACGAAAAGAAACACTTTCCTTTCAAATAAAGCAAAGGTTTAATTAGTTCCCAAAGTTCGAAACTTGAGCTTTTTACAGAGTAAATTTTTGCGTCCTTCATGCTCAACATGTACAGGGTGTCCCATTAACAAAGGTCACAGGTCATATCTATGGAAAGGTTAATTGCACAGCGCCGAGAAAAGATTTTGTTAGCAAAATAGATCAAGAGAAATCGCTAGAAATAATTTTTAGGTTTCTAGGTTTGCCACTAGAGGGCGTACGACTTTTTTCCTAAAATATTGTGATGCAGCACATATTGCTCCAGCCCATAAAATATGAGGAGTGGGGGAAAGGGAAAATGACTTCATCCTTCGAGGAATTGAATATAACTTCGGTTTACATAGTAGGTCCTGTTAGAAACAGCTCTCTTCGTGTTATCTGCATTTATATGAATAGAGTCTTTTAGTAAATGTGATGACTGCTAGATGGCGCGATGTGACATTAACATAAACTTTGCAGGTTTTTTGAAAATTCTAAATGTAACGATATAATTGTTATATGATATTATCAAATAAGAGGAAAAAGTGAACATATCAGTGAAAACCGAATTTTGATATTTGCTTCCTAAGCAAAGATATGGCGAAGATACGCACAACGCACATTCACAAATTTAAATTCCAATCTTTATATTCATCCATGTTGGATTTGAAACAAATGAACACATAGCAAGCGATAATTATGTCAAAGAGAATGAGGCGATGGCAGTCTAAAACAAAAACAAAACAAACAAGTTAAAAAGTAATCGTAAACGATTTACATAAAGCGCATTTCCACTTGCATTCATTTCCCATTTGTAAGATGCAACTTCTGTTAAAATCGTAAAAATCCGGTCACAAATATGAAAGATAGCGTTGCACATGGGCAATCCATTGTTGACGTGCTACTTCAATTTCAGTTTATGAGAAGAATTTCATTTCAATGCTTTTCTAAATAAGAAAGTTGGAACTGCGCATGCGCAAACCTAAATTTTAAAACTAATGTTAGATTTTCCTTTGTTCCAAGCGCCTAAATATCAAATTTCACTTAAATGCTTCCATAGATAAAAAAAGTTGGCACTGCGCATGCGTAAAACCAAATTTTGAAATTGGCGTTTGATTTTCCTTTATCCCAAGTGCCTATGTATCAAATTTCGCTTAAATTCTTCCATAAATAAAAAAGTTGGCACTGCGCATGCGCAAAACCAAATTTTGAAATTGGCGTTTGATTTTCCTTTATCCCAAGTGCCTATGTATCAAATTTCGTTTAAATTCTTCCATAAATAAAAAAGTTGGCACTGCGCATGCGCAAAACCAAATTTTGAAATTGGCGTTTGATTTTCCTTTATTCCAAGTGGCTATGTATCAAATTTCATTTAAATACTTTTATAATTAAAAAAGTTTGCAATTCGGTTTATAAATGGTCGAGATGCGAAAAGGGCACTGTGAATTTTGAATCGATTCGACTCAACTTTTGGCATTGCGTATTATATGTGGCTAAAGCTATGCCCATATTGAATTTCATGCAATTCAGTTAATAACTAACGGAGATGTAAAAGCAATCGGACATTTCTAAACAAAGTTATCGTTCACACGGACAGATACAGGGACAGACAGACAAAGGAACAGACGGACAGACCAACAGACAGACGACAGACAGCAATACAAAATTATAAACGATCTCTAGGATCGTTAATAAACGGCAAAAGTGTAAAATTATGGAACATGTAAAAAACGGTTTTTTTGTTTTTTTTACAATAACTTTTTTTGTAAGCGGTACAGAAAAAATTCCTTCCTTGGTGCAAGACTCGACACCATAACGAACCAAATAGCGAAAAAAGTAGAACAATAGCTCTTAAGATAAAGAACTAGTAGCGTCGCAAAACGAGAGGACGGACTGACGGACGGACGGACAAAGTGGCCACAATAGCGCATTTTTATTTTTATTTTTGTGGAAATGCGCTAAAAACAAAAACACTCAATTTTTAAATTATGAGCAACAAATAAATTATTTAAACTTTAAATAAGAGAATATGAATTAAATAAAAGAAACAATAATAATATATTACGTTTAAAATTTTTAAAAAAACCTGCAAAGTTAATGTTAATGTCACCTCGCGATCTCTACCTACCACTCATCACATTTACTAAAAAGCTTCTATTCATATAAAATCCGATTACATGAAGAGAGCCCTTTCCAACCAGAACTACTATGTGAAAATCTGTGCTGAATCAAAATAATGCAAATTCATTCAGATTGCGATGAATGTATTTTTTACGCATGTTTGTTGGGTATGTTTTAGGAAAAAGTTATTTTTCTACATAACCATGAATCGTGCGCCTTCTAGCGGTAAATCTAGAAACTTGAAAATAATTTCCAGCGATTTCCATTGGCCTCTTTTGCTAACACATTTTTTTCCAGAAGGTGTGCAATTTCGTCACTTTACGCAAATAGTTATTCACGCTAAACTGACCTGAACGCTATCAGATTTCACTGATAATTCAACTAATAATGTTCACAAAGGAAAAGTTTCAGTTCTTCAACGATGAGGATATAAATAATTCCATGATATTGAGTGCTATGTAATCCAAGAGGACCAGTTAAAAAGATGAAATACGATACAAACTCAGACTTTATGGCTCTACCGGTGTCCGGAAGCAATTAAGAAACAAAGCCTCATAGAAAATAAACAACGCAGGAATAAATGCACGTCCAATACCATTACCTGTACCATAATTTCAAACCTCAAACTTTTGACATCGGAGAAATTTTGATGATACGCGATGTTTAAATTACCCAAACCCCTAAAGTTTTAAAAACTCTAGAAGGTAAAAAAATGTGGTACCTGTCATTGATAGATGCGAATATATCCAAAAAGCTTGAGTGCAATTAATTTCAAAACATTTGAGGACAAATAGTAGGTAATTTTTGGTGTTTGTTTATTTAATTATGAGGAAATTGTAGTGTACAAACGTAAAATATTGCCGCGATCTCAATATGGGCATTTTTCAGATTAGGAGATGTTTTTTAAAAGAAGTGCCATTACTCAATTTCATAAATGAAATTTGAAACGGTACCGGCTACAAGTAAAAAATATACGTATAGTAATATAGTAAGGCGTGTCATTAAACTTGTTAACTTCTATGTCGTTGCACAACATATTTTATTTGTAAATTTATTCATGGTTTATAAATTACATTAACAAAATCAAAATATGTGTTAACATTGTATAAAAGAATTATTAGTCATTGTCTACCCATGTAAATGATTAATTGATTTTTAATAAGCGTTGATTACCTCACACAAATCAACGTTGATATTTCACGCAAACCCATTGCTCGGAATTGTCCTTCCGCCTGACATTTTTTGGCAGGAATTCGCATAAATTGACGACTACATTTTTGAAGATATCGCACAAAATGCCTCGAAGATCATGGAGAAATACGGCTCAATACTGAAAATATGGATGTTCAATGCGCTTGTAGTGGTAGTAGCGAAACCCAAACACGTCCAGATTATCTTAACGAAGTGTCTGGAGAAAGAGACCCGTTACAAGTTCGCTAAGGATGCGTTCGGAAACAGCTTGCTTACAGCGCCAGGTGCAGAGGGTGCTTTCGAGATGGTTAGTGATAATGATAACATTTTAGTGGCAACTTGGAGAAGTCATCGGAAAACCATTAATCCGGCTTTTAGTCAACAAATTTTAGACTCATTCGTAGACATATTCGTTAAGCACAGCCAAATTTTAGTGCGGAAACTAGAAGAGGAAGTCGACGATCAAAAGACTTTTGACGTCCACGAACACCTATCTCGATGTTCGTTGGATATAATTTGCGGTAATTGAAGATGTAGACTTGCACAAGTCTTGACGTTAATTTTCCTTTAGAAACAGCCATGGGAACTACTGTTGATGCTCAAACAAAGCCATCCAAACTGTTACATGCAACTAGAAGGTATCGTATCCGTGCCAATTATCTACCGTTTTAAACTTGAAAGTTTAGGGGCGCCCAAATCCTGGTGGAAAGATGCGTGAGGTTGTGGCTACACCCAAATATCACCTTTCGACTTAGTCAAAGAGGCAGAGAACTGAAAGAAGTGCTTGATTACGTCCAAGGTTACACTGGCAATGTAAGTAAATTGACAACTGTCTTGCCCAAGAGACAATTAACTTCTTTCAGCTGGTCAGGAAACGTTACGAGGAATTTCATAGCAGAATAGATGACAATTTCCGCGGTAAAACGTATAATTTTTATATCGCGTGTATATTAATTATTGTATACCTTTTAGATACTTCCAGGAAACCGTTTTTAGAGCATCTTCTGTCGCTCGGCGACCAAATGACATTTTTAGAATTGAGAAACGAAGTCGATCTTTTTATAACCGCGGTGAGTTAGTGCGAAACTAAAGATGAGCTAAAGATGAATTTTCAGGGCTCCGACACGGTAACGACGACAACGGGTTACGTTCTCGTGTGTTTGGGAATGTACCAGCACATTCAGGTAGGCTCGCCTTTTTTGCATCATTTAATTTATCCATAAATTTGATCGAAAGGGATTCATTCTTTGAAACTATGTTGTCTCGAGATTGTATGGAAATTGTTGCATTAATTTATAAAGCAATTGCCAGAAATGTTGCTAGTGTTTAAATTTCTGTACTGAAAAGCTAGAACGAGCACATTTTGTTTATAATTCGCTTGTTATCATTCTGGTGAAAATAATGTAATCGAAACTACTATTTGTCTTCTAATATAAGGTAAAAAAAAAAACTTCTTAGGTAGTATATAAAATGGGCTTATGACCGAAATTTTTTGATTAAGCATTTATTATTAGAGAAAAGATTTTAATAAAGACGAAGGTACTCAAGAATTGAATCCATAACAAATATTATAAGAAGAGAAAAATTTTTCCCCTTTCACTGAGGCTTTCTTGTGAGATCGAATATGTGGGAAATATAGTCATTGGTAGTGAATATTCTGAAAGAGAACTTCTCGCAGTGAATATTCTGCAATTTTTTCGACGAGGTTTAAGGGATATGTGCTAACATACTCATTTGCATAGAAAAAAGAATAGAACAAACAATATACCAGAATTTGCAAGTTTAAGAACCGGATTTTCGTTGTCTAATTCCAATTGTTCCATAAATTTTGGAAGTTGGTTCCAAATTTAAATAAAAAATAAATAAATTCAAACTTTATAAGTGATTACAGCCAAAGATCGCGAGTCATAAAATTAGTGCTTGTAGTATGTATAGCCTTCCTTTTTTTACCAAAAATCGACTGCACCAAAATTTCTCGGAAAAACACTTTTTCTTATTAATTTTGCGGCGTAGAATCCAAAACGATTCGTACTTTTTCGATTAGACCTCTCAATCAAAAGTTATGGACTATACTGCATTCATTATAAGAAGGTAGTAGATGGCGCTGTGTTTAAAGACAGACACACACAGGATAAATATAAAACGGCATCAAATTTGAAACATATGAAAATAAATCAACAGATTTCACGTTTGGATCATTGAAATTGACATCTAAAGTCAGTTCGACAGTTTTGTTCGTAATCGAAACTACTAATATAACAGAATTGGTCACACATTTTATTTGTCGGCGTAATACAGACTCGTGGTTTAACCAACCACAGTCAAGGTCAAAGCTTCCCTATGCTTTCTACCGCTACCTTCTTAAAATGAATAGAGTATAGAAACCAATTTCGAAAGAAAATTCAAAGGGCTGTAACTTTTGAACTAGCAGCCCAATCTTGGAACTGTTTGAAATTATGGATTCTACAGGCCACATTCTATAAGAAAATCTTTTTTCCCGGTCGATCTGAGACAATTTTTTTTTCGGGGCTCAAAAAAAGGCAGTGTATAACCTTCCTTTTTTACCAAAAATCGACTACACCAAAATTTCTCGGGAAACACTTTTTCTTATTAATTTTGGTGCGTAGAATCCAAAACAATTCGTACTTTTTCGATCAGACTTCTCAATCAAAAGTTATAGACTAGAAACCAATTTCGAAAGAAAATTCAAAGGTCTGTAACTTTTGAACTAGTAGCCCAATCTTGGAACTGTTTGAAATTATGGATTCTACAGGCCACATTCTATAAGAAAATTTTTTTTCCGGGTCGATCTGAGAAAATTTTTTTTTCGGGGCTCAAAAAAAGGCAGTGTATAACCTTCCTTTTTTACCAAAAATCGACTACACCAAAATTTCTCGGGAAAACACTTTTTCTTAATAATTTTGGGGCGTAGAATCCAAAACAATTCGTACTTTTTCGATTAGACTTCTCAATCAAAAGTTATGGACTAGAAACCAATTTCGAAAGAAAATTCAAAAGTGAAACAGATACCTATAAAGAAATTGTGTGGAAAGAAAGAAGAGGGGAAATGAAGAAAAATGCGAGGGAACAAAACTAAAGTAAAGAAAAAAGATGGAGGAAGGGGAAGAGCCAACCATAAGGGAAATAAAAACAGACAATAATTTTTGGAAGGTGATACCTAAGCAGAGAAAAAACAAAAATAGAACAAGTGGGAGGGAAATTCAACTAGAGGTACTACAAGGAACTCAAGAGAAAGAGGACGAGGATCGAGCAACAATTTAAAAAAAGAAGGGTAAAGGGGCAGAGAGAGGGGCCAAATAGGAAATGCGGCTTGGATTTTCGTCACAGATAGCGCCGGTGGAAAAGCCGGTCAGGCACCCAAAGTGCGATTAAAAGCTACCTTTTTACCAATAAATTTTCAAGAACAGAACAAAAAAATACATGTTCGGTCTAATGGCGAGAGAAATGGGACGGAGATATGGTGGAAGGAATGGAATGAACTGGAAGGAATACAAAGGATATACCAATTATAAATGGGCATTATAGGGCTAAACTTAAGGCCACAAAATGTATAAGTACTACAAGAAGAAACAAAAATGTAGAAGATAAGCATAGCGCCGCGCCGGGACGCAGGGCGACAATGTTCGAGAAAAGTTGTGAAAGAGAAAGCGTATTAGTAAAACAATGCTTGACAATGAGCATCAACGCAAAAGGAATATGGGAAGTACAAATTAAAAAATGCAATTAAAGAAATCGATTTGCACGGACTGAAGTCGAAAGAAAGAGATGAATAGGAGGTGGAAAAAAAGAGATCCTGATGCACAATTATAACAACAGAGAGAGAAGATAGAGGTCGCATGAGAAAGTAGGAACTAATAAGGGAGTTGTTACCAAAATACTTATGGGATGGAACAGAAAAATTAACATAATGGCAAGTTTAGGAGAGATGGAAGGAGAAATGGAGACAAGAAGAAGAAAGAACATGTAGAATCTGTTGAGAGCAAGAAGAGGACATAGAGGTGGAAAGGACAAGGAGTTGGAAGAGGTGAGAAGTGAATGATGTGGATACTAGAGAAAAAAAGAGAAAGAAATGCATTTTAGTGTTATTTTGTTGTTATATAGTGTAAAAAGTTTTGCCATTTTGGCGTCAAGCAAAATCATCGTAAGTGAAATACTTGTAAGTTGGACAAGCATCTCGATAGGTGAAATTTAGAAAAAGACTCAAAAATCTTTTTTGATGTAGGTCTCCATTTGTCGATAAACGTTTATGAGTAGAGTAAAATATAACATCGAAGTTGAATAACGTTTATTATAATTTTTCTATGGCTATCGATTTCGGCAACATTGCCATCATCAGGCCTAGCTATAAATATATCCTGTGTTATATAAAAGATACACTTATAATTGTGCTTACCGTCAATATTTAAAAGGCAGCATATTTATACATAGCATGAAGTGCGTGTTATTGATGGAAGTGGAAATTGAAATTCAATTTATTCAACTTCGATGTTATATTTTACTCTACTCAAAAATCTATTTCACTTCAAGTTGGAAACTTTTTAAGCGCCTTTAAAGCATAAAGTACCTACTGAGTTGTTAACTTCATGACACGATGATTGGCCTCATAATGGACTGTTAGTATGAGAAACCCTTTAAAAATTCGTAGATCTTTTTAAATTTGAACTGCAAATCGTGTGTAACTGATAGGTATTTGTTAGCGAATTTACGATGGCACACAAAACACGCTTTCCATAATTTTGTTTCAATTCAACTAATAATCAAATGGGCAATTTAACTTTAATGTAGCACGTAACTCTCGTCGATGGTTTAATTATTCTAATTAGATGCTATAGTAATATTGGAATGAATGGAACAATTGATGAACTGAAATAATTCCGGGTTAGTTCGCAATACCGTATATGCAAACAATCTCCTTGAACATAAATTAAAACGGAATAAAGAAATTCAATCAAATCAGGTAAATTTAATTAATGTAATTTAGATCTGTTTAATTAAGTGCCGATTAATTTTTTTCTATTTGTAATAGAGAGTGAGAGTGAATATTAGTATCGACCATATTGTTAATTAGTCAAAGCCAAAGGTGGAGGTAATAATGAGATACCAATTACCAGCTAATAATGGGCATGTAACATGTGGTTTATAAGTGCTCAAATTACAACACATAGGGAAATTTGTATTTAATTCTGGCAAACATAATTGATATTGTTTAGAAACTGGTTTACATCACATTTTTTTCGCTAATGAAACCAAACACGCATCATGTAGAACAAACTTTCTGAGGCTATTCTCATTGATCGCAATCCCCCATGTAATTATCGCGTTTCAATTAGTGGATACGGAAAGTACGATATTAACTATCTTTAATGAAAAATTAGTGTTTTCACCTAAAACCTACATCCTACTTTAATAACTAACTTCAGGACCGACAAAACAGCATGATATTCATATAAATAATGAGTGGGAAGCCTTTTCTGGTTCGCGAGATATTTTTGCGCGGGTAGTTTTGAAAAAAGTGAAGTTTGTAAATAAAAATCGCTGTTATACTGGGTGACCTAATTCAAGTCGGGTTAATACGAGAAGCTGTCATTGTTCATAATAATAAACTACCACACTACCATAGAATAAACTCGCTGGAAAATAAGTCCAATTTCAAGCAGTGTGAATTTGTATAGTATTTTTTCGAATCCAAGACGGCGATTCAGATTTTTCCAAGGTTGGACGACTAGAGGGTAGTTAACATGTCTTATAAATAATGTTTATGTTTATATTCAATGCAGATCGTGTCCTTTTAAGGATTTTGATTATTAAAATTTAAAGTTTTGAATAGTGATTCTTGTAAGACAAGATAAGATAAGGAATGACATCTCGTCTTGCAAATTTGTTTTGTCTTGTTTGTTTTCTTTCAATTTTTTTGTTTGGTATAAGAATTTACTCATATTAGTACTGTAGATCTCTTTTTCATTAATTCGGTGAATCATTTTTTTAATTTAAAGTAATACTTTTCAAATATCTGGCAAAATTTTATGATAGAATTACAAAAAATCAAAAGTTCTAAACAACATTTTTAATACTTTGTTAAAAAACCCAAAAATTGGATTGATAGGTATATCGCGATTTGATTTTAAATTTAAACCCATACATTTTGTGACCAGTGCAGGAGTCAAGGTGTTAACCTTTACCTTTAATTTTGCAAAATATTATGCTAACCGAACTTACTCACTCTAAATGCTTATACTATTTGCCAGGATGCTGCTAAATATATGTATACTGAAACATGACGCAGTCGTCCGAGCTTTTTAACGCATAATTTTTTTCCCCCGACCTCGCCATGAAACCTTCATTTTCATGCCTACTGTATACCAGGAAATTTTATTTTCCATGACCGTGATAGTAACACTTTACCTGACCACTTTTCCTGCCGCCTATCACTTTAGCAATGTCTAATAACTCCTGGCCTCACTGCCAGATTGATATTAATGAAAAGTTCTATATGATAGGTAAAATTTTGTATTAAAAAGACGATTACGTGAACAAAACTCACCAGTAAAATTATAGGTAGGGCGAAAATTAAAGTACTCGGTCCCAAAGGGCAATATTTCCTCGCCAGTTATGGTAAATTTTCTATGTAAATAACTATTAGCACGATGATCCTCAGGCTAGCTACTTTCAACGAAAGCAAATATTTTCAAAATCTATCGCCAAGACCTTGAAAGAAGTGCAAGTAATTCAAGAAATTCCTTGTCTTGCGATGAGTGTGAATTTTCCCCATTGTAAATAAAATTCATCTAGAAGTTCTCCATTATTTTGTGCAATATTAAATACCGGAAGTCTTCTAACTGAGTGAAATATATAAAGTATGAATTTTCAATTGTGTACATAAAATTAAACAGTACAGTTTAATCAGATATTAGGAAAAACCATTTGGAAGTATTGAATAATCTACTGAGACTTTAAATACAAAATATGGTGATCGGTGTTCGAAACTGAAAATTTCAAATACGTATTTCAGTTCTATGAATACTTCAAAGAAGGTGTCCGACTGAACATCCTGAAATAGTCCTTGAAGACCAGGGACGTATTCGTTGCAAGCGCTGGAACAGCGGAAAAAAACACTACCAGTTTAAAATTATTTAAATAATATGTAATATTGTAAATAAGTGCGTTTGCGATAAAGTTGCCATACACGTTTCCATTTTCAAATGTCGTTGAGTATTTTACTAAGTAAGATATGTACATTGTACGAGTACAAACTCGACCCTTTATTAAAATTTTAATTATTCTACGAGTAGAAAGTAAAATTTGACAGGGGGTGGCTACTGGAAGTTTCACATTCAATTATTATTCAACTATTCCCTCTATTTCACCTTCAAGTTTGATCTTCAGTGACATTGCTTTACTTCAGGAAGCAATCCCCGCCTATGAACCTCAGTGGGTGTTTAGTACGATCAACTCACTGTCAACCTAATTAACATTAGAGGTAACCTAAAATTTACACGGCCTTCCCCTAATCAAAGTTTGTTGCTCATACCTTATTCAATAAATATAAGGTTTGTAGCCAAAAGGACATTTCCCATTGTTCAGTCGTTTCTAAAATCTCTTTCTCAGCTTTCAGGAACACCAGAGAGAACATTGGTACTGCTCCTTACAAACTTATACGTAATTCAATAAATATCGATTGTATTGCCAAAAAGGCATTTGCCATTTTCGAATCGCTTCTAAAGCTTTTCAGCTCTCGAGACCATTTAAGTGAACATCCAATTTCCAATTTCAACCAAATCGGTACGGTAGTTTCACACACACATACACGCATATGTACATACAGACGTTTTTTAAAAAGCACCTGGGAATTTGGAGTGATTTCAATAACTTGCCAATTTTTATTCAACCGAACAACGAAGAAGCAAAATAAACTTAGTTCATTGCCGTAAGCGCATTGTTTAATTTTCATTGGAAAATACGTGACATTGTACTCGGGTCATTTCATTTTCGGAAAAGAGGTGTAAGAGTGATTTTCTTTGGAAAATTTGAGCGACGCAAATTAATTTTTGTGTTGCAATTATGATACTAAAAATAGAAAAACCAATTTTGCACGAAATAAAATGAGTACATTAAGCGTTTCGTACGTTGAGCAACTATGAAATATTATCGTATCAACAAAGCCGCACTTTGACATCAGAAAAGCTGAAGCCATATAAATCCAATAAGGCAAACTTATCTACATATTTTGAACAATTGTCCAACACTGTCAAGTTCATATACCACGAATACGATCTTCGACCTCGCGGAATCCTTAATCCAGACAATTGTTGAAAAGTATTGAAACTCATTTAGCATAGACTTCAAATTTGGGTTGTGACTTAGAGACATCCTTATCTAACGCGATGCTTTCTCCAGCGAAAGTGCTAATGTGGAAGGAACATTCTACCAAAAGTTCAGAGCATGCATAAATTTTCGAAAATGATTAATGTGTTTGGTTTCAGCAAGAAATTATACAGGAAATAGACGAAATATTCGGAATCTCTACCAGACCAATAACTCGGGACGATTTGCCAAAGTTGAAATACATGGAACGTGTTATAAAAGAAACGATGCGCTTGTATCCACCGGTTCCTTTGATAGCTCGAAGTGTTACCGAAGATATCGATTTAGGTATTATACGCATCCATCCTATTGACGAGATACCATCAAGATTTTATTGTATAACCTGTTCAAAGTGAATTCCATAAAATCATGATTTACAGCGCTTCATTCATATGCATAAGCCGCGCCTTAAACTTTTACCTTCCATGTCCGATTATGCATCTCGTAACTTCTTACGCATCTAATTTCAGGCGAATTAATTTTACCGGCTGGATGTTCGGTTGTCGTTGGCATTATTGGTATGCACAGAGACCCCGAAACTTGGACCGATCCTTTGAAATTTGACCCGGATAGATTCACATCTGAAGAAGCTGCTAAAAGGCACCCCTACAGTTACATTCCGTTTAGTGGAGGTCCGCGAAATTGCATTGGTAAATCAAACTCACCAGTTTGCCCAATTTAATGTTGATTGTAGGTATCAAATTCTCGATGATGGCAGTGAAGGTCCTCTTGGCTACGATTTTGAGATCGTATAAAATACACACCGACATTAAACCCCAAGATATCAAGTTGAGTGTGGAGATTGTGTCAAAAATGATCGGAGGCGCCAATATTTCTATTTCAAAACGGTAACCGAAGGTGCGACAATAAAAATAAAATATTAATTGAAAATTGGTTATACAAAACTATTTGCATTTGAGGTCGCTTTGTTCGCAGAACTTGGCGCCTCGCGTGTAGGTTGCTGTTAAAATACCGGTATTAATTTGTCATTGTTCTTTGTACGTGAAGTACAGAATTGATAACAACTATCTAGCTTTATTGAAATGTGCCCGTTGAGTTACACAAACTGGTAGGAAAGGAAACCTGAACTATTGAAAGTAAATGTCTTTATTTACTACAGGCGAAAAGACCTGGGTGTCGTAGGTCGTAGAGGCAATTAAATTATTCCCATTTCTTCATACAGTCCGCCTAAATTTACAACTACCTACTTCCTGTTCGTTCTGGATCTAAAAATATAATAAAGGCATTAGTATGTAATATGCAAAAAAAAAATTATTGCGATGAACCTTCGTAATAATTAAGTTGGACATATTAGGAACATCCTATTTCGCTCTAATGTCATACGCAGAGAAACTTCGAATGTTGACCTTATTAACGAAATTAATGGCCACGGAAGAATAATAAATGTGATGATGGTATTTGGACACAAATTCCAGCGTATTTGAGTGGGTCGAATCAAATGAAAGTTATAGTTAGTCTACAGGAAGGGCGGAAGATATTGGGACAAAGGTGGTTAACATTCCATTCGATGTGATACTAAGCATACCAAGGATAGGACCATGTACGTCTTCCCAAATTGCCTACAAAGTACATTAATATCCGTGGGTGCAAAAATGATATCGAATGATATAACTGAACTACTGGATACAAGCTAGTATGTAACAGGAAGTCGCAATAAGAAGTTACGTATATGGTTATTCGAATCAAGAAGTCAAGTACGTCCACGTTATACGTCGAAAAACTTCCGGCCCAGCTTGTAGCATTTTTGTGCAGAAATTTTGATCGTACCAGAAGATTTAACTCTTCAGCAAACATGCCTCTGGCGTAGGAGATACATAAATTTTGGTTTGTTAGAAGAGATAGCCCAGGTAAGAATGTTTTTTTTAATACTTCGATAATGAGCACGTCTTCTCATAAAAGCTGGCTTATTAAACACTTTACCGTTACTGTAGATAAACGTGCTGATGAGAAAGTAGTTGGCATCAGTGAATTTCGAATATAGTGTGACCGTGGGCGTAGGGTGCGTGGTCCGAAATACGTGAAGCAGAGAAATGATTACGCACGGGGCCGTAAAAGCGACAAGTGCCGCGACCTTTTGGAAATACATCAGTAAAGCAGCACGTGATCGAGTCAAATTCCTAGGAAGTTCAGGGTGGTGGATACTATGAAATAATAAGGTAATCGTATGGTTCTAATATTTGTATGTTCAACCCATTACCTTGCTTTTAAGGGCAAATAGAATTAAAATTTGTTCATTTAAATAATAAAAAAAGAAGCCCTTAAAGAACGGTACCTCCATGTTTGAACCACCCTGAAAGGATCAAAATTATTTGCTGTGAACGCTAATATTTAAATTATGAAGACTTAATAGTTGGGTTCATATTTCTCTATTTTTTAATATTATAGGTTTTGTTTTAAAATATAGGGTAGTAATGGCGTTATCATGTAACAAGGGGGCTAGGTAATTTAAAAAGGTAATCACTTAGTTAGGCAGAGTATGACTACCTATAGCAAAACTTTGAGTAGAAATAGTTAATATGTAAATGAACGATCACTTCTATAAGTGGCCTGTTTGTGATTGCACCACAGTTTTTCAAAAACAATTCAAATTCGTAAATTAGTACCCGCGTACCAGCGTGAGGACTAACTTCCCCTAATTAAGAAACTGCCCTTCTATCAATCGTAGGTAATTTCCTAATCTATGTTATCGTTTCCAGACAAGGTTTAAAATTACGCCTACTTTTCCAATTCCTCAATTAAGTATTTTTAATGGTGCGCATTGAAACTCAATTAGGAAATGTAGCATATAGTATTTGTAAAGAAAATAAATAAATCAAACCGAAGTTTAAAAAGTCCAGTTCATAAGCAAGGTTGTAACCTTCGGTAGGTAACAAAAAGGAGCGTCTGCGGGTCGGCATGTCCGTTTCTCATACTTTTATTTATCTTCTTCAAGACTACCACACAATTAACCCACCCATTAACTTACTAAATTGTAATCTTTGGTACGTTTCGATTATCCATCTCGCTTGCGGTTTTGTTAGGGAAGAGCAACTCCTTGTCTAATTTTTTTTTAGATCTTGGGAAGAATTTTAGGCATGGTGATTGCGTTTTTAAACGATTTAAATTTTTTTGGCGTAAGCAAACCTTGAGTTGTTTCATGCTTTCTGGGCCTACTATAAACGTAGAAAATATCGCAAGAAACCGCCTACAGATTCATTTAACATTTTGATACAATCGTAAATTTGAAATATTGTTGTCAGTAAATCCAATCCCATCGAATACTAATTTTATTAAGGTATACGTACAATGTTGTTAGTACCTACTAATCTAACAAGAATCGACCTTTTAAAACCGTTTTACAATTTTATTACAGGGTAATAATGGTCATAAAATAAACCATTGTAGGTAACTGATTGCGTAATTAAATGTCTGTGTTTCGCTACCACTTACTGGTAAATGGTATACTGATCTTTCTAAAACAATACCCTGATAAACCGAAGAAAATTACAAACGCTACCCTTACACATGGAGCGTTATTGCCTAACAAAGACCGAAGAGAATATAAATAAGAAGATAGAATATCTTGTTCTACATCTAATTCAATACAAATTGAACAATATTGATAATTTGTGAAGAAGAAACCTAAATACGAGTCTCGTCTAGCAATAAGGTAAAAACGTCAATTTCTCGGTGTGAAATTTGGGCAAAAGTAAACAAGTATAAAATGTGCACAGGTCTTGTGCAGATAAAGCGCATTTTTTAACCGAAATAACTTTTGTTTTGACATCACCAATGGATATATGTCTTGCAGATGTCTCAATCGCTCTTTGAGAGTACCCTCTTCCGATAATCCGTTCTTGAGGTATAAGGGACTATACCCGATCATGATAAGAGGTCGAGTAGGAGGGCTATGATTGGTAGAAATTAATTCCTTTCGTTGAGACCTTTCATTAGAGCACCATGAAGGATAAAACTATTTCCACTCCTCCTCCCCCTCTCTCCCTACACCCCGTAATTTAGTCAGAGGACAGAAAGAAGAGCAGTTGTTTGTAGAAAACGGTTTCTTTCGTTGAGACCTTTAATTAGAATAGAATGAGAGATAAAATTAATATTAATTTTTAACCCCCCCCCCCTCAGGCCCGTCGCTCACTGATCTCGAAAAAAGTCGCACGGGAAAATTATAGTTTGTACAAACCAATTTATTTCGATGGGACCTGTCATTAGAATACCATGAAGGATAGAATACTTTCAAAAACAGCATCTCAGGAAATAATTCATGGGGGGGCCCCCTTCTAGACAGCGAAAGTTGATGGTCGTCTGACACACCTTCAAGGTATAAGATACCTACTGCAACAAATTCCAGGACTCTAGGACCATTTCCCTAGAAGTAGTTCGAAACGGCAGAAGTGGGTCCGGACGGACGGACGGACGCACAAAACGCAAACAATAGCACATTTTTTTTAATTATTATAAAATGCGCTAAAAAATAAACGGTAGAAAATCGACCCTTTTCGCCCTAAATTTTTATTCAAATGGTGTCAATTGAAATATCCGGAAAAGGGTCAAATTTGGAAGACATTCAAGATTTTGAGTTTTTTTGCGACAATTTAACTCATGTATAAAAAATTATCAAGGTCCTCGTTTGAGATCGAAGGGACTTCAGCGCATTTTTGTGTGGCAGATCAGTATTCTATTAGCCACTTTCGACCCAACCATCAATAGCAGATCTTGTCGAAGGCTACTACATTCACTATAACCGCTTCCCACTTTCCCCGTGCACCCGCAATTCGCTTTTAAAGTTTTGACTCCACCATCAGTAAGATCGTGTCGGGGGCTACCACATTCCCTTTGACGGTACCCACTTCCGACGTTCCGTTCACCCGCAATTCGCGTTTGAAGATTTGACTCCAACATCAGGAAGATCGTGTCGGGGGCTACCACATTCCCTTTGACGGTACCCCCTTCCGACGTCCCGTTCACCCGCAATTCGCGTTTGAAGATCGTGTCGCGGGCTACCACATTCCCTTTGACGGTACCCACTTCCGACGTCCCGTTCACTCGCAATTCACTTCTATTGGCGACACGAGAAAGAGAGACAGCGATTCGAGATTTACGAAACGTTAAACCGCGTGAGTTCGCAACGGAAGGTAAAAGGCGCCCGAAGTTGACTACTTTTCAAAGACGCGCGCGCGCGCCTCGCAAAAGTTCGTTAATTTCGCCCCTAGGACAAAAAACAAAATTCCGCCACGCAGGAGTTGTGCGCGTTTACAACATCTTTCCGACGACACCAATTTGAAAAGAATCGGACCAAAACTGTAGTAGAAGATAGGAAAAAACTGAAAAACCTTCACGTTAGTATACTACGCTCGAGGATGACGCCCAGATGTGGCCAACCCCACATCATGTAGCCATGTCCCTAAGGTTGACAAATTTCACGGCCCTGTAGATACACGTACGTACACCCGTTGCCTTTCTACAAGAGTTCTTCTACGCGCCCACATTTGCTGCCAGCCAGCCAGCCAGCCGGCCGGCCAGCCAGCCAGCCAGCCATCCATCCAGCCATCCAGCCAGCCAGCCAAAGTGAGATTAAAAGCTACTTTTTACAAATAAATTTGCAAAAATGCGCTAAAAATCGCAGTGGAATTGTCACCTTGACAGCGGCAAAAAGTTACCTGCAACTTTTCCATTAATATACGACCAATCAGCTTGGTGATTGTATCAAATTCTAACCAATCAGATGATTTTTTATCTGATTAAAAGCTAAGTAGGTTTTTATCTTTTTATTTTAATTCACTCAAATTTTGTTACCTCCTGGAAAAAACTCTCGATCAAAAGCATATGAGAAAATCACACTTTTGA